GTGTCGGTCAGTAGTAGCTTGGATTTCCATAAAGTCGATAGCTTCGGGTGTACGTGTCGGGTGGCCACGTGAATACAAAACTTTTACGGGACAAAATATAATACGTACTGTTAAACACAATACGCCGACTAGAATATAATAAAATTTAACTAATAAAATACAACACCTGACGGGTTTCTGTAGCGTTAAAAAGATAGGCCCAGGTTACCTCACTCGCCGGACAAAATCAAACGCCGGAACTCGGAAGAACAATTCACTTAGCGCCGCTCTTCTGTGGGGCCGTAGTATGTCCCAGGACGGGCGTCCCATCCATGCAACAGTCAAAACTGCTGCGTGGCTCTCTACCACAGAAAAATAAGTTCGTGTTGGTGATGATAGTTGTTCGCATACAGAAACTAAATAGTAAATAGCATCAGAACCAATTGTTTACGAACTTCTCTCGCTAAGTGTGTACATGAAATTTTAAAGGGAATTATAGAAAAACGTACGAATAACGTGGTCCGCCTACACTTGTATAGCACGGCCCCCTCACATTTCCGGCTGTAGCCGCGCGTGACGCCGCCGGTCACGCACTAGCGTGAACCGACGGGGATTACTAAAGAAATTCTTAATGCACATAATGCCTTATAGCTTCGCCGTAATATCTTACGCCAGCTTGAAGGGAAATACACGGAAATTGGACCACGGCGTAATGGTTGCGATGCGTGGGTTCAAACTTTCAAAGGAGCCACTCGAAGTTTGAATAAGCAATAATTCGAAGTCGAAGTTTCATAATGATCACGCCAGCCTAGTAAGCGATAGTTATCGGTCACCGCCACCCATATTTGGGACACCGGAGAAGTTGCAAAGGGGTACCTTCAAGGTACACGAATAGGCTCTTTTCTCGAAAGGCTCAAAGCGTAGCGGAGAATGGGCTTCCGCGATCAATTCCTTGTGCATAAGCGCCCGCTTCAACCACACATTGCCTGTGTTTAAAGAAAGCAGTACTTGCTGCAAGGCGTATGTCGTAAGAGTCGCCGCGTACAAAGGCAGCTAATAAAATTCTATAAAGCCACTCGGTATTCCATAGCCGCATTACAGGCACGCGGCACACGCACAAGACGCGGGCCAATATGGCCCCGGCTGTACATAGAATCCGGTGGAATTTAACGTTTCTTATGGATCGTACGCCGTCGCGGCAATTACCAGGTTTTCGGTCACGAAAATACGCCCCCACATCGGCTAACGAGCGGCAAGCAAATCTGATTAAGTGCCTTTAATGCGCCCGCTAATGATAGAGGGAGATTGTTAGGAAAGGAAATTGTTAGTCACAAAACGTGGTTGCGATAAAGCCCATGGGCTTATATATTTGGTATCACTACTGAAAAAAATCTTCTCATTCTATTCTAGCAACTTCATTGAGGTGAACTATATTTATATGACTTTTATCTATCTGAATGAGATCTTGTTTAAGGAGCATATTAATAAAGGACAACCAAAGTAAAGAGAAACATTGCTTTACTATAAAAGGTTGCGTCTCAATGCTTTCATGAATACCAATTTTATTAAATAATAATTTTAACCACGAAGCCAATTATGTTTGCAACATTGATACTGTAGATGATATTTTTTTAAATATCCGACTTATTTCAAGCTTTCATCATCACCATCTAAGAAAGGTAAGCAAGTTCGTGCCAAAGAAGTTATACGTAAGATACTATGTATACCATAATCCTTACATTGGTCAAATACAGAGAGACTCCATATTATAGCCCATAGTCATCTGCTACGAACAAAAGACAGAAATGTTCAAAAAAAAGAGATGTGTGCATTTCCTCACACACATTTTCTTTGAAGCCCTGGTTAACCAGGACAAATCTGTCCATTCCTTTTTTTTTTTTTTTTTTTGTTGACGTGGGGGAAATGCCTACGCATACCCGCCCTCGCGGGGGCAAGAGCGGGTTATGTCGGACTCGCACCGACTAAAACGTCCACGATGTTACACCTAGGCGCATATCGGCAGGGTCACGGGAACGCTTTCGCACACTTCCGCGACCCTGCCAGCACTGGCCGCCTTAGCAGCCCCCTCACGGGGAGCAACTCCCCTCTCCTCCAGGTAAGGCGCGCTGGAACATTCAACGCGCCTTCCTACTCGGGCCCATTTTCACGGCCAACGAACTCCCCCGAGTTCGCTGACTGAGGCCATGGGAGCCAGGAGAGCCAATGCTAATAAGCAGCAAGCATCCCAGCCCCCAGCGGCGGACCTGGTCTGTGGCTCCGCCGTTCACCACGTTTCGGCCGCGGAGGATAGGGAGAACGGCGCACCGCAATACCGACACTCCTCTCCCCCCGCGGCCCCACTACCACTGCATCAGCGGTGCAGCCCCGCCGAGTCGCGTAGGATAGGGAGCACGGTCAACACAATGCCGACACTCCTCTTCCCCCGCGACTCCTCCTCGGTAGCAGAAGACAGGGAGAGTGGCTCCACCTCTACCACCCTCGACCTGTCCCCTGCACCCTCCAGCACGCATCCAGAGCGGCCCTCTCGGGCTGGCCTTACACCACAGGCCGGCCCAGTGTGGGTTCCTCTTAGCTTCGCAGCTTCGGGGACCAAGCCACGGCTACTAAGCCCCTCCGCCACGTGACCGAGGCGCCACCAAGGCGGGAATCCGGTCGGAGGGGAAATCTGTCCCTTCCTAGGCCAACAGAAGCCGTATGGGTCAACACCAGTACTGTAATCAGCGATATGTGTTTGAATGTTGACTTCATCAAGTTAATCAAGAGTTAAAAGACTTATGCCCAGTTTCCGAAAGGCCAATTAAAGCAGCAATCACATAACACTATGTCAAAAATTATCAGCTGTTAATCTCTTGTTAAACTGCCTTGGGTTTCTGGAAGGTTTGTTCAATAAAAATTAGCTAATCACTGTATAACCAATGATGATGAATGAATTTACTTCAACTAACTCTTTCTATTGTATAGCTGTCCCTTTTTAAACAAAACTTAAATTAACGTCACTATCCAGTCCTGTCACCGTGTGATTGCCAACGTAAAAATCCGAGCTATAATAAAATTTTATTTATATAAATACATGCAAAACTTTTATCCATAATAAACAAGTAAGTATTATAAAAAGAAAGAATCCATATTATTTATTAACTTTTAAATTGCATTTTGTATTTTTTCTAATCGCATGATATGTTCGCATAATAATAAAGAATAAATAGGTAATAGAACACATGAATGTCCTTACAACGTATTAGGGAATTATGTTTCTTTTTAATAAAAACTAAGATTTTTGATAAAATACATTTTTAACCAACGATTGATCGTCCAAATTGACAGATTACTTAATAAAACTTTTGACAGCTCGTTTACCACCGAAAAACGCTTTCAGAAACTCGATTTTCTGTTGATTGTCCGTTAATCAGTGATTAATTGCAAATCAAAATCAATGTTGTTTTAAGACGTTCTTGCAACTCAGATCATGTTAAACAACGATTGACAAGAGATTTATCATAAATTATAATTGATTGCGCTTTCGGAAACTGGGTGTTAATGCAATCATCAATTAAATCAAAGTCAACGGAAAGTTATTTTCCATGCAATACCCAAATTACCGTTAATCAAAACTATAAATAATCAGAGCGCCATTAAAAGTATGGGAAAAATGTGCAGTCATAAAACTCCTTTTTATAAGTTTCCAAATTAAAGTTACATGTGTATAAATTCGAAAGGTACAAAAAAAGGTTCTGCATGTATGAAACGAGTAAATTTTAAATCATAGAATCTTATTGTGAATACCAGAAATATCAAAATTTTTCTTGTATTAACAATAAGAAGATATATGGAACTAAATACACTAATAAGACAGCGATGAAAGTAATCGAGTTCTTTAAAAGCTTTTAGTCATTACAAATCGTTAATTTATCGAAGGCTGATTCGAGTAACTGCTAACAGTAAATTGACAAAATTTTAGTGCTGAAATTTTTTTTTGAGGTTTTATTACGTAAAGAAATTTTAACTGCCAGCCACCGAAATTAGTTTTTAATATTGGGATATAAAAAGGAAAACTGGTTTTGTAACAGTTCTCGCGCGGGACACGTTTCACGTGATGTTAAGTGATTACCGCCGCGGATGGTCAGCGCCTGTTAGGTTACAGATGCAATGCTAATCTTTAAAATAGTTAAGTGATAACCGCCGCCCATTGACACTTGCAACATCCGCAGGGTTGCAGATGCCTGCCACCTTTTAATAAATCGGGCCCCGGCTACCTCAACCACCAGGCGAAACACTTCCCCTTCACGGCGGTGTTCTGCGAGGAACGCTTATCAATTCAAAATCCACCGGCCAAAGTAAGTCGTGATCGAGCCGTGATAGCTCGCATTTAATTCAATATATTCGAGCAACCCGAGTTCGATCCCCGGTACCAATGATATTGTTAATTTTAATAACATAAACAGAAACCTGCAAAGTTTCGAAATAATAACAAAAAAATATTTCGAATATATGATCTTTTCTTTTTTCTGTGTTGTGTTGTGAGGCCGTTTTACAAATATAAACTTCACATGGATAACCAGCCAGATGCGAAACAACTATCAGTGGGTCACACAAATAGTTGTCCCGTGCGGGTATTGAACCAACGACCCCCGACGCCAATAAATACCTTGGCGACTATGTCATAGTCATCAAATCAGATTATATCAACTTTATTTTTTTAACAAAATCATAGGTACAGTATAAAACTATATTGCATTTGGAATTCTAATTGTATTGATTGAAAAATATCGATATCGATCTCACACTAGCCTGTTCTAACAAACATCATTTTCGTAGCTAACAGCTCGTTCGCTCAATCGTGATGCAAACGCGAACAATAAAAGTAATCAGTATTGAACCCAACGTAGCTCGAGTTGGTGCAACTTTTCCACGAATCCATACCGGAACCCAATTATACTGGCGGCCGTTAAACAATTCGGTGGCCCATTTGGAGGGCCTGATGGCTGATAACCCAATTTCTAGAAGGAAATACGGGCGGGCGGGTCGGTCTGTCGTGTCGGCAGTAATTTCTTCGAGCCGCGGCGCAATCTGCGATCTTCCGCCGATAGGGCCGGATTGGGGCTTCGCGTGCGCGGCCTGTAACACCCACCGCCCGGATTATATAACGGCCTGGATCGAAGCCAATATAGCGCCCACTCAAGCTGCACACTCTTATATGTCAGTACGCAGTCATCCTTGCTTCGGTCGGGCTACGAATGTTTAGCTGATTATTTGGTTCTCTCGTCTTTAATTAACTGAGGTGAAGCTTACAGACTATTCAAGATGTATACTTAGACATCACACGCTTTTAGCTTTTAGCTCCGAGCAACAGAGTTCGATCGCGGTGCCGGCACCAATGAATTTGTTAATTTTAAGTGCTGAATTATCACGTACTCGGCGGTGAAGGAAAACATCGTGAGGAAACCTTCATATTTTAAAATTATAACAAAAAAAATATTTCGAAGATATGTGAAGTCCGCCAATCCGCAGTGGGGCTGCGTGGTGGACTATGCCCTAATACAGACTGTAGAGAAGAGGCCTTTGCCCAGCAGTGGGACATTTATAGGCTGTTACTTTACTTTTTTTTTATATATCACACAAATTTTAATCATAGGATTATTTTTCATATTTAGTGTGCTGAAAAACTTTAAATCTTACCCGAATAGTACCCGCTGTTGAGATTCATTAGGATATATTACTTACTAAATTAATTACTAACTTGTTTGTTAGCAGTTTTTCATCGTGCGTTTTTCATTTTCCTGCCTCCCACGACATTCCACTTGGTTCAATCCGTTATCACTCCGAATTTAATAGTTCAATTGTCCAAATGATTCATTTTTGTTTGGCCGCATGTTCTTCTACAATTCATCTATTAAACTCATATTTAATTTTTTTAAATAAATAAGTTAGTCTTGTTTTCTTTTTGTAACCCCATTATTTTTTTAATGTGAAAAGCTGTCAACCGAGCGGGCGTTTCGCCTGATGTTAAGTGAATACCGCCGCCCACGGACACCTGAGGGCTTGCCGGCCCAACGACCTTTAAAAAGTGGGCTTTAGTTATAATACTTCTATTTAACGCTGATCTTCTGTGAGGCACTCCAACATATGAGTTTGTCTATTCGTACAATAACACAAGCTATTGCGTGGTCCTAACACAGCAAATAATGAATTAATAATGTATTTGTAACATTTGAATTTACAACATTAAATGGACGACCTGAATGGCGTAGTGAGTAGTGTACCTGCCTCCTGCGTCAGCGGGTGAGGAGCCCCACTACTGGAAAAATATTGTGTGATGAACAAGTGTTTTTCTAATGTCTGGGTGTTTATATATGTATAATATGTATTTATTTATAAAAGAAAAGTATTTTTAAGTATGTTTATCAGTTATCTAGTACCCATAGTACAAGCGTTGCTTAGTTTGTGACTAGATAGCGTTGTGTAAAAATTTGTCCCAAAATATTTATATTTAGTGAGAATATGGACAGGACAAATATAGTCAATAACGTAGACAAAGATACCAGAGACGGAGATACGATGATGAGAGGATCAAGAGAAGGTCATTTCGTTTGACATCAGGACATCGGCTCACCATTATAAGTTACACATCAGTGTAATTGGCAAATCAATGTTGCTTCATCGGACTATGTTATGGGATTGGAAAAATGCTATATTTTGCATTCATTTATATTTTTGCTTCATTTTATTTTTTATATTATTGTTTTAGTGCTAAGCTCTGCACTTAAGATGAAATTATATAGATAAATTGCCGAAAAAATCTTAATATCCAGCTGTAACTGGAAATAATTACTTTGATGCCGACTTGCAATTTTTTGAAGAGATATAAATCTTTAAAGCTGGAAATAGAAAATTAATTTCATACTACACACATAATAAAGGTTTTTATGAGGAAATGAAACGAAATAGTTTTATTAATTTATAATTTTTATTTTCAATTTTATTTATATCAACCTTCTAACTTCAGTATTGGCATCTTTACAAAATATAATAATCCCTTTCTTTAATGGAAAAATTAAAAACGAATTATATTAATTTGGCAAATCCAAATTCACCTTCGTAACAATTACAAATAATATATAAACTTCGCGTAAATGTTTATATAAAATATACATTTTTTACAAAAATGTAACATTACATTTTACGGACTAAGTTAACTACGAGACTATTGCTTTGTTATATAATTAAAAAAAAATACTTAACATCAACTAAAACTAATTACATGTATAGTAAAAAATTCAAAATACGCAGTGTCCGTCGTATAATCTCAGATTATGTACAGTGCGAGACGCGACGGTCTAAATATTACAAATAATTTACAAAATGTACAATAGAAGATATTAATACAAAACTAACGGAGATATAAACTCTCCAGTGCTAATTTCAGATCGTGTAAGCCGAACTCTGAGTCCAAATGACGTGCTGGGATTGATTAACCTGCGTCAATCGTTTTGATGTTTCTAGAAATTGATTTAGCGTCGGTTAAATCAGATTCTAGAAAATACTCTGGGTCTTGTACCTTTGCGTCGATATATCACAATAAAAAGGCACTAAACAAATTGAAGCGATGAAGTTTTACGATTTTTCGCTTTCACGCAAACGCATTGAATAACAATTTTTACGTATGTAACAATTCTTTGCCTTTACGCGAATGATATTTAAAAACAATCTCGTTTTCTTTTTTCAATAAAAATGCAATTCTCAAATTTTGTTCCAATTTTGAATTAATCACAAATGTATAAAATATTTAGTTTAGTATCGATTTAAGGCAACCCTGAGTTAATCCCAATACTTAATTCGTGAACCTTTCTCTAAAGAGGTTAGACCCAATGAAAATCATCAAATATTAATAAGCACTTTTCTAACGATTAAGATCCAAATCAATATTTACGAAATGCATTACGAACCAACAAACCGTTCGACTGCCTAAGCCTTTATATACAAAGCGATCTCTTTTTGGCCTGTCAAGTCCTACTTATTCGGTGGAGTTATTTAAACAAACAAAAAAAAAACAAAGTATTCAATAAAAGAACAAAATTGAAATATACAGCAGACTATCCCGGTGGGTCACCACTCACGATGGTATTACGTATTTTTTTATGTACATAAACATTGGATCAAGTCATTCCCCACTCAACTAGTCCTAATTACGTTTTAATGTTTGGCATAATGTTTTGTGACTCTCCATACAGACTAAGTATGCCTAACGCGTCAACGCTTCTGGCATGCCAATCTATGGCACATTACAGGCTTTACAAGGCACGTTTCCTTTATACGAATAGAAATTGATCGTATAAAAAAAAACAATGTACAATTGTACACGAAATACAAAATATAGGCGTCATGCTTGTTTTATTTGTCATTTTTTTTAATTACATTGTTTTCCGATTATAGGCATGACTTTTTTTTAATAAAAACTCTTATGGCACTCCATTCGCACGTATATAAGAGCCCTGATATATTTATGTACAGTCGGGTGCACACATTTTTGGAAAGTCCCAAGGCGAATTGATTTTAAATAAATTTCAAACTTTCTTTTCAACTAGTATATGCATTCGACTGTACAGATACAACCAAACTTTATGTTAACTAAAAAAGGGTATATATATATATATACCCTAATGTTTTATATATATATATATATATATATATATATATATATATATATATAAAACATTTAAATTTAAATGTTTTAACAATTTTTAATCAGCATTACATTAATAGTGTATTTTTATATACTTCGTTAGTCTTCAGTCCAGAAATCTCAATAGGCAAATACGATCACAGTAATATAACGTTTTGACATAATTTAAAATGGTGCCATTGTGGTATAATCTGCTTTACATGCTATTATCGGTCAAGACGCGCTTTAGCCGGGGGGTGTTTTAGTCTCCCTTATATGTACTAATCTTGAACAAATATTAATTATATTAAATCTTTTCAGGAAAAACCCTGTTAAAAGATTACCATTTTAAACAGATATTTTAGGCGAACAATACCAGTCACTAGATTGGTACGCAGTATTTGATAGAACTAATTTCTCTTACGACTGATTATTTAAATTTTTTTTTCACTCTTTACACAACGGCTTCGGCGAGACAACTGTTATCGTTAAAATGCCACCATGGAATGGGAAGCGATGGTCCTGATTCGAAGCCATCGCAGAGAAGACTAACATCCCCCCCCCCCCCCCCCCCCCCCCCCAAAGCGTCTCAAACCTGAACGCCCAGCACTCTGTCCACGACGAAGTCGTACCTAACGTCGTCCGCCTTCACGTCCTCCGAAGCCTGAGGTGGCTCGCGCTCGCCGTTCGCGGGGTCCTTCAGTAGGGGCGCGGGGTTCTTCAGGAGCGGCTCGGGGTCCAAGCAGGGGTTCTTGCACTCGACCACGCCCTCCGCGCCCTCCGAGGTCTTCGAGGACCTGCCGTCCGGGGTCCTCCGCTCGAGGTCCTCCTCCCAGTCGTCCTCCGTGACGTCACCCTCTTCGTCCGGCGGCACCGGTATTATGGGCTTGGTCCGCGTGAAGAACGCCATCTTCTCCCTGAGGAACAGCGGATAGTCATGTTTGAATAGTTGTAGCGATCTCGCACATAAATGTAGCTCAACCTTTATATTGCACAAAATCAAAATCAAAATCAAATGTATTTATTCAACATAGGAGCATTACACTCACTTATTGATAGTCAAAACACTACCACCGGTTCGGAAGAGAAAGCCACTGTACTGAGAAGAACCGGCGAAAGAAACTCAGCGGGCTTTTTTTTTTTAAATAAGCAGTTTGACATAAATTCGTTAAAATACAATATAAGAACTCAGATTGAAAGAGCCTGGAGCGATCAGTTCATTACCAGAGTGTGTTATCATTTAAATAATCATTAATATTATAGTAGCCTTTAACACACAAACGTTCTTTTACTATTTTTTTAAATTTAGCTATTGATGCATTTTGAACGTTTTCTGGAATTTTGTTGTAATAACGTATACATTGTCCCATAAAAGATTTACTTATTTTACGGAGTCTACTTGTGGGTAGGATTAATTTATTTTTGTTCCTAGTATTTATATCATGAACATTATTATGTCTTAAAAATTTATCCTTATTTTTATGGACATACAAAATATTTTCAAAAATGTATTGAGCAGCAACAGTCAATACCTTTATCTCTTTAAACAAGTTTCTTAACGATTCTTTGGGGCCCAGATTGTAAACTGCACGAATAGCTCTCTTTTGTAAGACAAAGATTGTATTAATGTCGGCCGCGTTACCCCAAAGCAGAATGCCATAAGACATTATACTGTGGAAATAACTAAAATATACCAAGCGAGCCGTATCTGCATCAGTTAACTGTCTTATTTTTATTGACCGCGAAAGCTGCTGAGCTAAGTCTACTCGCCAGTCTATTAATATGGGGGCCCCATTGCAGTTTGGCATCAATAGTTATGCCAAGGAATACAGTTGAGTCAATAGGGTCCAACGCTTCCCCATATAAAAGTACATCAGTTTTTACATGTTTAACATTGGAGGAAGTTGTAAATTTAATACATTTAGTTTTTTTATTATTCAACAGTAAATTGTTAGCACTAAACCAATGTACTACAGTAGAATAACACAATGTACTACACAGGGTAACGAAGTGCATCAATTTGCTTGTCCCAAACACACATCATCCGCCTGATACATTCGTAAACCTTTCGATACGAGCCCTTTCGTTCTTACGGTTGAGCATACTCCTCTGGGGAAGGTCCTCGACCCCACCGATATTTCCATATCGATATTTATACTTCTTTCGCGTAACAAAAAAAAACCAACATTTTCTTTCAGTACTCTTTCTTTGTGGAAAAAACACATTAAACGCAATCGATGACGTTTTAATTGAACAACTTGGATTCATAGGTAAATGTCAAAAAGTCGTTATTGATTGCCATGATAACTAGAAGTTTGTCTAAGTTGATGATGTCGCTGTCATCACAAAAACTTACCCACAATCACGCCAAAGGAAGTATAACTTAAAATGAAAATATATATCGTGCGTGCTCACTTGAAGGTGACGAGGTCGGGCCGCTTGGCGCGCCGGAGCCGGTAGATCTCCCTGGCGGTTTTGTGCATGAGGCGCGGGGGGTCAGGCGCGCTGGCCACCAGCCGCCGCAGCGTGTCGTCGTGCGCCACCCACGCCGCCACCGCCGTGTCGCCGCGGCTGCACGCCTCCTCCAGCCTGCGGGCGAATCGACCCAAATTACGGATCTCCAGAGCGACGAAGTTTTTCGCCGGTGACGGGTTTCAATGAAGTGAGCATCGACAACCTCACCCACGAGACGAAACGCATATGTCAGGTCTTCTGTGAGATCGTGGTACTTACTGAAGAACCTACCACAGTCCTACATTAAGCGTCGATGTTTTCAAAGAGAAGACTACACAGTGACTACACAGCCACGCAACAGTGTTCGCTGGTGCACGAATAGGTAGTTACCGTCCGGTAGTACAACGACCTCACAGAAGACCGACGCAAAGTGGAAGTATGACAAATACTTTCGCCTTTCGTCTGGTGAGTGAGGTGGCCGGAGCGCAATTTCCAAAAGGGTGTCGACGCACCTGGTAACCGTCGGGTGTGGCGGATGTCCATGGGCGGCATTCACTCAACCTCTGGTGACCCATAGAAAAAAAAGAAAGCAGACCTGCTCTTGAGGTGCGCCAGGGTGGCGATCTCGCTGCGCAGGTCGGCGAGGCGGGCGTGCTGGGCGCGCAGGTCCAGTGTGAGGTCGAGCGAGGTGCGCGCGGGCCGGCGCGCGCCGCCGCGGGCCCTGGCGCCCCGGACCCTGCCCCACCTGAGAGGGACGCCGATACCGGGTTACGCGGGTGATATATTTTATTCGACAATCGTATCGTACCTTCTGCAATATTCATCAAATTTAAGTGTTATTTTTTAATTATTTAGTTATAAATAAATAAATTTAATGATTACTGCTAATAAGCTTGTGTTTGCCAATATTAACGAAAATACAAATAAAAGTTGTTTAAAGTCAATGTTTTCATAAACAAAAACTTTCTTTTAAACTTTTTATACAAAGAATAACTAATAGTGCCATCGGTTGACAATTTGTTTAAATGATAGAAAAGTAAAAAAAAAAGGGGCAACACCAACCTGAGGGATCTCCGCTCGCGGACGCTCCTGTCGAAGGGGATGCCGGCTGCTGGCGGCGGCTGAAGAGTAGATCTACGGGCGTACTGCGCCATCGACGAGTCTGACTCCGAACGGTTCAGTCTGAAAGCGGAAAGGGATGGAATTAGCTTCATTTAAATACCTTACTCATAACGCTATCAGACCACGTTTGTCAATACGCGGTCGAATGCGAGCGAGATTTATTAAAACGGATTTCGGATCCCTTAATGCAAAGGAGCACAAAAACTATCAAAAACTTCGAATTTGGAGACTGGTATTCGGGATCAGTATCAGAATGAGAAATTAGTATTGCTACCAAAGCCCCCAATTATGGCGACCCCATACCTACCAATGATATAGTGTTGCTCGTAAATTAATATCCTCTTAAAAATTGAAAATATGCAAATCCATATAATTAATTCCAATTTTCATTATAATGATCAAATAACTATTAATTGATAGGAGAAAACTTCATGGATTCCTAGAAAGCCTCCAATTTCTTTTGGATGTTCATGAATTTAACGTTCAAAAGACTTGACAGTATTTGTTTTTTACAATATTATGAAGTCTTTATTCAATATCTTACCTGCAAATATAATGCCCTTTGCCGATGCTCTGTGGTTGTGGTGAGAAGGTCTGTGACCTTTTTATCGTCGCTAGAGGCTCTTCAGAACTCGCTTTAACTTGTTGATTTTTCCTTGAAAGAGAAAAAATAATGATGGCACATCTTTAGCTGACCTATGAAGGCAGAATTAGTTATTAAGTGAAAAATATTCAGTGGCATAATCATTGCAGTGAAAAAATGCGCGAAATACTGTCTATTCAATTGCATTTTGTATTTAATAAGTCGAAATATATCTCAATATAAAATTCAAACATAAATGTTAACACACTTTTTAATCTGTGTTTTAAATTTATATAAATAAAAATAACATTCAAACTGTGTCAAGTCATGCCTGATGTCATGCAATGTGCCATAGTCAAGTAAATGCCAAATTATAGTTTTTTTTAACAATAAGATTGTAACAACTATTGTAATATCTCATGTGTTGACACTTTTTTATACAAAAAGCTTATAATGTTACCGACGATACATAAACTTCATTTCATATGCCTTTTTACGTGGATTTTCTAGAAGCATAATGGAAATAATTTTAGTAATGTACAGCATATAGGAATAGTATGAATTATATGCAAAAAAGCCTGCAACACACACAAATAAACATATAGAACTATATTATACTAATACATTAACAACACACAGTGTAAATCAAGCGTTGGTCGTTAGAATTACACAGCAATGCGTTGCACAAAAAAAATCCAAAGCGCACACACACACGGAGACAGTGTAAACATACCTATATATATTTATAAACTATTTACAGATATGTATTTCTGACGGTATATATTATAATTTCTCTAATGCAGTCTCTTCTTGAGGCTCTCCGTCAGCCTCCACTCTCCTCAAGCATTTTAAGTATCTGGTGGAAGCAGAAAACAAACCCTGAACCTTGCTTTATGCGTATTTTTTTTTTAATTTACCATAGAAAAGATATGTACATGTTAGGCAACAAAAATGGCAATTAATCAATGGAAATGGTTTGATGCTAAAGTAAAACTTAGTTTATAACATGTTATAACATGAAAAGGTTAATAAGTGAAGATTGAATCACGACATTTTATGATATGTCATTGGGAGACACATAAAGCTAACCCTTGAAATATATCAAAATATATATTCTTTCAAAGTTTATAAACATCATATATATAAATAAACTTGGCTACACCTAATTATAAACTAATATACATAAAAGATGTGTAGTTTATATAATTCTTCATATCTTTTATAATATCTTGGATTAGTGTGATATATTTTGACCACTGTTTTCACCCAAAACACCTTATCAATGTTTAACCAGCACCCAGTGTTAAGCATTAAAATAAAGAAACCAGCTAACTATAAACTCTTACCGTCTATGCAGCTGTCTCGCTCCCTCTGGACAGAAGTTGCACTCCGTGTTGGTCTCTTTCTCTGCGGTGGTGGGATGGAGGTACTCCTCCTCTTCTAGAGCTATGTCCTCCTCGGGAATGTAGTCCTCAAAGGAATCCTCTTCCACTATCTGGAATACATATAAGGTAAATTATCATAATATCAAAACTATCCAAGCCACTATCTTCCAATATAATAATGAATTTTTCTTTGTTCATGAGTGAGTTAGCGTCAAGGCCGTAGCCAGCTTAAGTTACCACATGTCAAACTATTACATGTAAGACTCCTTAGAATTTAATGGATGAGCTAAGTCATCAAAGTATAACTAACCATTTTGGAATATGTATAAAATTTACATTCAATCCTGTATTTTCATGGAAGAATAAAAAGGAAAAAGTTTTAGGCATTATTTTTTTTTATGTGAGAGGGTGGCAAGCCAGCTGGCGGTTCCTGTTGTTAAGTGACCGATCGCAGCCCATGGACAATTGCAACACTAGTAAGGTTGTGTTACCATCTCTTGATAAAGTCGGTTCCATCAAAAGCAATATCATTATAAAAAAATACATACAATGTAAATCATTAATGTTACTCGAACTGCATGCTGTTAATAACTCTATGTACCTGATTAAGTGGTTCTCGAGATTCTTCATCCTCTGACGCTGAATTATCACCGCAGTCGACGTTGCAATCCGCCCCCGTCATACTTTCCGGACCTTGAAAAAAATAATATGCTGAATACATAATGTTAGTTTTATAACATATTTTCCTAATATTTACTACTAGGAAACAACAATTTCTATTTCACGTTGGCGATTTTAAAAGACATTTCAAAATTCCTGCTCAAGTTGTACTAAAATAAGAATAAAGTTTCATCTTCTAAAAAATAAACAAAAAATGTTAGAAAAAATTATGCTCTAAGGATTTAGTCCCAACAATATAGATAACTGAATGATACTATCCATTGATTCACTTACACCAATGGGAAGGCTCAACCGGCAAGTAGCGTAACTGCACATAAGACCGGCGTGAAGTATAAATATTGTACTTTTGTGTTTAGTGTATTTAGCAGTATATTTGCAGAACATAACTATTATAAAAATCAATATGCGGTGGTAATTAATAATAAATAGTTGCTGGGTGTCTGCAAACATTTCCACGTACCTCTATTCCTTGTTAGTGTTGACGTTTGAGATGAAATAACTGTGGATTCGTCTGAGCTCTCATCTCTCCTCATACTCCTGAAGCTGAGAACGTTGTACCACTTCTGGGACACCGTGTCGGGGTCAAAGTCCGCTAGGCTGACTTGCGCGCACCCCTGCAAGGGAGATTGTGCTTTAAATGTGCCCAAACAAAGTTCTATATGGAGTCTCTTCGGTAAGGTCAGAAAAGAATCGCTCTCGCCCAGTGTTTTTCACATGGCACTCGAGGCTTTTGAACCGAATACTCGAATTTGGCTAGCTGTCATCATTTGATATTTTATTATTCTTCATCCACTAGTAGACTGGACATGATTTACACCCATAACTTGAATCCGCTGCTCATTTAGAAAGGGAAAAACAGTTTAACCGTATTTCAAGTAAGTCATTTGAAACAAAGAAATAGACTGTCGCCAACTAACTGACTAACTGAGTAGATATAGAATATAAAGGGAAATGTATATCAGGCGAACAGTGATAAATCAGTTGCATGAGGAATAGTAGATAATAGAAAGGGACAGTGAGAAAAATTATGATATTAGATGAGGGCAAAGGACTGTATGCTACATTAAGGTAGGAAGGTATGCAGTGCATCGAGGCGTGGTTTTGGGCCATAGGAGATTCGCGGACAAAGAATAGTCGGTGTTTTAGGGAGGAGAAGTGGCAATCAGTGGAGGGGGCAATGCAGGGACAGTCAGTGGAGGGGGCAATGCAGAGGCAGTGGTTTAGGAATGAGCAGGAGCAGTCAGCGGAGGGAGTGGGGGCGTAGGGAAGTGGGGGCGTAGGGAAGTGGGGCGGGGAAGTGGGGGCGTAGGGAAGTGGGGGCGTAGGGAAGTGGGGCGTAGGGAAGTGGGGGCGTAGGGAAGTGGGGAGTGGGTGCGTACCAGGCACTCGGCGGCGGCGGCGAGGTTGAGCTGCAGCGTGGCGGCGCGGAGCGCGCGCGGGCCTAGCTGCGCGCGCTGCGAGCGGCGCCAGGCGAGCGCGCCGCCGCGCCACGCCAGCGCCGCGGTGCCGAACGCCACGCCGCCGCCGCCGCCCACCACCAGCGCGCCGCGCACCGCCCTGCACCGCGCACTGCGTTACTACTCCGCATGGCCACTTCGGGGTCGGGTGCGGTGCGAGTGTTAAGCTACCGCGTTTCCGGTGTTGGGGATGGCCGGAGCTGACCTACACCGCGCCCGCGTAAGCCTACGCCTGGGCAACTACTGCTATACAGAAGCCTTGCTCTGCCTTGTGGAGGCGTAGAGTGTAAGTGTCATAGGTAGATGACCGGGGGTCACAAGCACCGCGCCCGCGTTAGCTTACACCTAGACAGCTTCTGCCGTTTGACGTTTGCTGGCGTTGAGTTCAAGTGTTATCCTTTTGCGTTTCGTCTGGTGAGCGAGGCAACCGGGTCTGGTGTTGTAGATGACCATAGGCGACGGTGATCTGCCCGCTCGCTTGCAAGTTACTTCGCTTCAAGGTTAGACAGAGTAAAATTCATTAAGAGTCCTTTTTACATCACTTTAAATAATCGCGGGTAATATTCCGGCTGCTTTTCGGAAGCATACAAAGTTTGGATTTAAAAGAACAGATAAAGAATCAATCACCGTTTAGGAAAAACATACGCGATTTATTTGTGTAGAAAAATATGTACTATTCATTAATAGAGCGGCAATTATTCAAAAATTATAATCTTCACAAGAATTTACTACATTTATTTATGTTTGTGTAATATAATATATTTTCTCGGTTCATCATCGTCTTCCCGCCCTTATCCCAACTTGGGTGTAGTCGGCACACGTAAATCATGTCATCATAGCCTAGGTTTTTAACGACCTGCAGCTTCCTTAACATCAACCCTCCTTGGAATATAAAGAAGTCGATAGGTAGGCAACCGCACCAAAATCACATTAATATTTTTGCACGATTATTACGCGTTCCTATTCGAATCACTTCAATGTGGTACAATTTCAGCGGCAAGGCGCAACTCACACTTCGGTGCCCATGTCGATGTAGAGGGCGTGGAGGTTGCGCGCCCTCAGGATTCCGATCTCCAACGCGCCCTCCTCGGGACAGTAGCGCAATTTGATCTCAATTTGTGCACTGTTCACTGAAATTACACAAAACATACAATCAAAAACGCTGCAAAGAGAACGTTAACGACAAAACGAAAACATTTCAAGGTTTGTGTATTCAGTGGTCACCATTTTTTAGTCCACTGTAATAGGCTCTTTTACAACATCGAGCAAATTCTATAATAAATCTATATACAGCGGTTGTTTGAAACCAAATCGGCGCTAAAACGGATTTGCCAAACAAAAATGTACTCTATTACTGAGCATTAGAGTAGAAAACAGACCTGCGTTAGAGGCGTCACCGCCCTGCGCCGCCTCGAACACGCCCGAATCGCCCGCCACCGACTCGTCGCTTACTGCCGCAGATACGGATCTAGTGTTGGTGCCTGAAATAGAAATGGGACAATGTTATTGCCTTCTATACAATATTTGTAGTTCAACTTGAGACTTAGAAAAGTTGACTGTAAGTGAAAATAGCAAAGAAAGTGAACACGTGTCGGTATTAAAGACACCAGAGAGAGAGAGATAGAGAGGAAATTGCCTTTTAAGCGAAACTTATTTGAACTTAACCAGTATCTTGGTACAATTTAGTATACAAACGTTTAAGTACACTTAGCAAAAAAAATAATACTAGAAACATTGTAACGTTATCAACACTAGCCTAAACTAGTCGTGAAGCTGCATTAACTACACTGTGGAGTAGTGTGAGAAGCGCCACTAAGAAAATCATTGTTACATTGTTATTTTTAACGAGAAAGTCCTTTCGATTGTGTTCAATTAGAAGCTCTTATAATAATACACCCTTATAAATGAGAAAAATAAATGAATGCTGGTGGGAAAAAGAGTTAAGAATAATGAAAGTAGCGGGGAAAGAGTTAGGAATAATGAATGTAGGTGGGGAATAATTTTGGAATGCAAGTTACCACTAGACGAGGGAGTTCTCGGCGAGAGCGGTGGCGGAGGGGTCTCCGATATGGGCGATAGCGGCTCGCAGGGCCGACCGGGCCCTTGCAGCTGTACCGGGACTGTGGAAAAAAACAAATCAGTAGGGCTGCCACAAAAGTTCGGGAAAGCAATCTCGCCAGTAGGGCTGTCGAAAATTTTTGTGAAAACAATCAAACTCTAGAGGCATTTTCTCCAGCAGGCTGATTCGACTGGGGAAGTACCACGGTCTATAATAGACCGGCCCAATGTAGAGATATCTATATGGTAGCACACGTTTACCATATCTAATATAAAAAATGGACAAGAGAAAAATACTGATATCAATCAGCACGACTGCCTTGTCGGTCTCCACGACCGATAAGCCGAAGTAAAATATAAGACGGTCTTAACGAGTAATACCAGGTCTATGACGAAATCGCACCAAAAACATGTATATGGGTGACACTACTTCATGTCTATTTAGCTGGGATTTTTGTCTATGAAAATACAAACTAACTCTCAATTTACGGTGTTGCAATTTTACTCACTTGTGGCAAGGCCCGTCACCTCGTTGAGTCCCGTCGCGACTCCTATCCTCATTTCCGCTAGCTTCTCCTCCAGCTCCCTCTGCTGTCGCCTCTGTCTCTCGACCTGAAGGTAAACAACCTTTGAAAAGTGCTTTACAGCGATATAAGACGTAGGCAATGGTACAAAAGGCAAGATACTTAAGTTAAAAAAATAATTTTTATAATCGGCTTTGAAGATTTTGTAGACGGGTCAGACGTTTTTCCGGGGCCTCGACATTGGTACTAAATGTAACCCTCGCAAAGAGTAGTAATAACAAAATAAATTTAACATCTTACAAGCAAAGTGTACAGAAAGAAAAAGATAACAAGTGCTATAGTTAATACGAGTCATAATTTCGAAGTTGTGATTTTTTTATATTAAAAAAAATTGTGGGCTCTGGTTAAAGGTCCTTATTTTGTTCACGTAAAACGTCCATAAAACGCAGAATGATGTTATCCTAAATTAAGAGGGAAATGTTTCCGAAGGGAAGACTACAATAGAGCATCTAGGTCGCAGTGGTCGTTAGGACTTATTACCCAACCCCTTCCACAAAGTACAAATACAATACTCTCCATGAAGTAGACCACGAAGTAGAAGTAGACCGTACCTGGTTGTAGGAGGGCGGCGGTGGTGGAGGGCTGGCGGAGGAGAGGCTACTGCGGGGAGACAGAGACGGCTGCGACGGGGAGCTGCTCGTGCCTGGAGTCATGCTGTCTGCGTTGTAGCTGGTGCCACGGAGGAGCCTGCGGCAATAGAAGAGGTAGAGTAAAGTAACAGTCTATATATTTCCCACTGCTGGGCAAAGGCCTTCTGTACTATTCCTATTAGGGCATCCACCCACTGCGGATTGGCGGACCTATCATCTAAATATTTTTTAAGTTTTTATTTCGAAAATATGCAGGTTTCCCAAGATGTTTAGCTTCACCGTTCAGCACGCGTGATAAGTCAACGCTTAAAATTACACCGACAAATACAAAATTACAACTTAGGTTGCTCAAGTATATAGAATTAAAAGCGAGCTCCCGGACAAGGAGTAATTATGTCTTACAAAATGACAAACATTGTTAAATATCGAGAAGTTAATGAGTGTTTACTTAAGAAACAAATCCATAACATTGATATTAAAATCACGTTGCAAGCAATGAAAGGTCAATTAAAAACACCATTCTCACCTTTCGACCCTCCTGTGCAAATCGACCATGTCGATGGGCTTGTCGGTCTGCAGGGAGCTCGCTATCTGCGGCCCCCCGTATATGTCCGTGAAGCTGATGCCGGAGCTCAGGGAGCCCTTACTGCTGGCAGTAGACAAGGAGCCCAAACTGGAACTGCTCGAGACGGACAGCGTGCTGGCCGAGAGGGTCTTCAGCTGACCCTCCAACGTCGTCATAGAGGTCAGAGCATCCTTCAACTGCTGGAGTAGCAACTGTTTCTCCTCGTGAAGCTTCAGCCGGTCCGCTATGCATTTATTGGACATTTCGAAGGCGTTCTTTAGATCCTGCTCCAGCTTCTTGCACTCGATCTGGATGTCGCACATCTCCTGCTTGGAGCGAGTCCGGGGGGTGATGCTCCTCAGCTCCCTCAACAGCTGCTCCTTCTCCTGGAAGAGCAGCAGCCGGTCCTTGTCGGACTCCGCCTGGCCCGGCTGCACCTTGTCCTCCAGGTCGGCCAACTGCCGCTGGATCTGCTGTATCCGCTTCCTCGCCTCGTCGTACTGCAGCCGGACGCGGGCCATCTCCGCCAGTCTCGTGCCGATGGGCACGAGGTCGGCGCAGAGGTCCGTTTGCGAGGCGGTGCTCAGCTTCTCCTGGGGCAAGCTCAGCGTGGACAGGTCCGGCGAGGCCTCGCCCAGCTGCAGCCGCGTCAGGTCGTCCTTGAGCTTGGCCAGCGACTGCATCAGGTCCGCCTTCTCCTTTTCCCCGGAGGTGAGGGACCTTTGGATGTTCTTCAGCTCGGTCATGATCGCCTGCGCCTCGGTTATGTTGTAGCAGCCCTGCTGCGCGCTGAGCTTCTGCTCCACCCTGGAAAGTATTGTGCGAACGGTTAGTTATGCATTGCTTTGCGATTAGGACGACCCCGACGGGCGGGAAGTCGATGGATGTAGGCGGCTGAGGATTGTACTTCGTGGCATTCTGTTGGTGAGACCGATGTTCAGCAGTGGACTCAAGCAGGCTGAAATGATGATAAAGAATCATCATTATCATCACTTCAGACTGTTAGCATCAATGTTACGACCATATAATGATGATGATGATGATGCGATGCGTCAGCTGAATGTGCCATAACAGTCTTTTGGGAAGTTGCCAGCGAGCTGAACGTTCCACTTAGGTCATTGAAAAGCTTATCGCTATTCTGATAAGTCTCAGTGATGAATGGTTTGCCCGTCGTCTCAAGTCTAGCATAAATGTGATGACATTCAATTAATTTTAGTCTTCAATGCAAGACGGTATACGGTCATCCTTGATACGGTGGAATAGATGCTACAGCGAAAATAGGTCACAGCATAATAGAATCGGTATACTAACTCGGCGAGGGTGTCAACACCACGTCGAGCGCTGGCGACCTCCGCACGGGCCTGCCTCAACTCCTTCCGGAGCTGGGCAACCCTGCCCCTCGCTTGGGACACCTCGGCACGGAGCACTTCGGGGTCATGACGCGACGTCGTGGACGTGGTCGTCATCGACGTCGTCGACGAACACACTGGAAACGAACATATAATGTAACTAGCTGCTGCCCGCGACTGTCTGCGTAGAACAGGCTGAAGGTGTAACATTCAGACAGAAAGACAGATACATAAAATATGTATATATATTATAGCCTATGTTTTATTCTGATTTATAAGCTATATTACCGTAAAGTTTCATTAAAATCCATTCAGTAGTATTTGCGTGAAAGAGTAACAAACATCCGTCCATACATAAAAACTTTCGCGTTTATAACATTAGTAACGAAGTAACAGCCTATACGTGCTGGGTAAAGGTCTCCCCTGCACAGAGGGTGATACGCCAGGCGACCCCACTGCGGCTTGGTGGACTTTGGATATCCTCGAAATATTTTTTGTTTTTATTTCTACACCTGTATACACTTATATAGATATCTGTACAACACTAATGTTTGTCAGGTTGTGCACAGATTGCAGGTCTTCCCATGATTCTGTCATCTCTCTTTCGTCTTCCAGGTCAGTAAATTTGCATACACATGGCCTATATATGTACGTCCGACATCCTCCTCAGAGCATCCTCTACCAAATTATCCAGGTTCTACCGCACCAAAATCTCGTCTTCAGTTTATCTTCATCCATCCTTATCATTTATCCAAGTCACCGAAGCATTCCAAAATCGCAACATTAATTAAAGAAATGCTACAGTCGTCATTGATGAATTAACTCAATAAATAAAAAATACTTTTAAATCCAGTTATAGGGCAGTGCGCTTGACGGTTCGCAAATGAATTATTGCCAGAAAAAAAAAATTGAAAACTAATGGGAATGGAAAATTAAACCGTCATTGCGGCGAGAACTAATTTATTGAAGTTACTTGTTTTTGTTATAAAAAATAAAACAAAGCCCATTGGATATGGAAATAAATAGAAATCGATTTGTACCGATCCTAAGCGTTGTCTCACAATTCACTTTTAATATCGACTTAAGACTGGTTTTACTTGAAAACATTTCGTTTCTGTTTACAATTTCAAAAATAGAACAACCAGACATCTTGATTCTATCGTAAAATATACTGTGTTTGCCAATAACGATGGTAAACCACGTCGTGTTCCTAACAGTTCCTAACTATCAACATTCAAAAATTGGATTCAAACGTCCCGAAACCGCGCTCCTATTAGACAACAATGAAGAATGGGCTTTGTCCATAAAACCTGGGACAATGCGAGAGGCCCGTAGCCTTGACACAGAAGCAAAACCCATTCAATTATATAGTCGCCTTCTTTAGAACGCCAGTACTGCGTTTGTGGCTTCGTTGATTACAATTTATAACTAAGTCCTACCCGTGTTCGTCGATAACGAGGTTTGTATTGAGATATCGCAGTAGTTATTCACTGATCCGGCCCTGGGTGCAAACTCAAATCGATATTTAAATAAGGTTCGTATAATTCACTTCATTACGACGCGGTCTGGTAACGGAGTCGGGATGCCTCTGTGTGCACGCTATGCCCGTATTACGAAGAGATGGCACAATGTCGATAGGTATGCGAGATATCGATAACTATGCACGATTATCGATACCTTACACCATCCCTATTATGAAGTTACAGTTCTTATTTGAAATCAATTAGTGTCCTGGTCAGAGCCGTAATGTTTACGGTACCAATTAATTCGTATGTATGTATGTACGTATTAGATATATCAGGGAGATTACTGTAAACGACACGATAAATATTACGAAAGCTAAAATGTTCTTTATTGTAAATGTTAATTTACTTCAAATTAAATTACAGAAAACCTAATGTAAACGCTTTAAACCGTTTCCTAGTGTGCCTTATCATGAAATTATAATTTTTTAAAGGAAATGTGTTCAATGAACACTGACAATCGCCTTTATTTTTAACCTACTTCAAAAGGAGGAGGTTATATAATTTATAACAAAACTGTCTAGACCAATTTAGATTCAAATATTTCACTTGTACCGCTACTTGTCTAATCATTAAATTATTCAACTGAAATAATAAAACGTTCATAACTCACGCTCACTATGAACAGACATGGATAAAATATACAGCAGGGAGTCAAAATGTTTTAAGATCAATCAACTGGCATTCTCGGATCAGGTATATTCACAGTTTTCTCCGAACACCGCATTCTATCGAGCACGGTGTGGGACAGGATACCCATAGTTCCCATTTCCTCTCCTAATGCGAAACAATGTCGGGACGAATGCAAAAACGAGGTACGCAATTCGACTAACCTTGTTAAAAAAAGGCCTGAATATTCTTAGATGTGATCATAGTATATTTCATTACTGTGGTAGAATGAACTAGCGACTTGGGGATTGTGAAATTCAGGTACAAATCCAGGTACAAATTCTTTTGAATAATATAATAATACATACAATTTCAGACTAATTTGCCTGGTCAATATTGTTATTTTTTTTTTTTGGGCTTGATGAGCCACTGTTGGCCTTAGGGGCCTTTACAGTTTCGCCGGAATTGAGTAACATTGTTACACGGACGCGTATATCGCGTTTTGGACTTGTCGCTTACTTTCACAAGTTGTTAGCATTGTCCACCACGTATGGGTCACGGCGTGAAGTTCGACCACATGCTCACGCGATGCATACCGCACCAGAATGCATTCAAAGCGAAACCGTTGAGTAACCGTTGACCACTCATCTCTAAAGAATGCGACCGTTTCAATCTTATTCAAGCAATTAAAAAATTGTAATGAAAAATTCTAACAACTAATGCATTAGGCGACTGACGGCAGTAAATTTTCATCAGGACTCTAAAAACAAGTTGTATTCTTCGCGGCAACCAACTACCGAATAGACGACGGGTGACCGTCGAAATACAGGTTTAATTTTCAAAATTCAACGCATCTAGTGAAACGTTAGAAATTTTCCTAAACCTGTGACAGGTAAGCCTTACAAATCTCCACATATCCGCCAAGACTGGAAGGCAAAGCGTCACTGATAAAAAATAAATTACCGTCGAGTATGAAGTTTGTATTTCAAGACTTTTTTTAAAAAAAAAAATAAGAATCTCAACCGAGCGTACCGCGGCGTCTCCATTTAAACTATTAAATAATAACTCGCACAGTGGCGGCACTTATGCGGTATGTTCCGCCTCAAAGCTGCGAATCCACATAGCGCCACATTCTTCCGAGTAAGGCACTGCCGCCGCCATATTTTCGCGTAGCGGAATTCCATCACGCTCCGCCGTAATTATTAAATGCACCCCGATTCACGATTACAATATATCAATACGCAACGATGACTTCATAATGCTAATAAGTAAATGAGGGCCCTTATGTTCGTGCGCGTTACTTTGACGTATTATCAGGCGACGGGAACTTATGCAGTTTACGACAATCAATTGGGCGAGAGGCTTACAGAGCTATCTTTTCGGACTTTCATATTAACAACAAATAATGTCTCTACTACTACTCTAACCTATTAGAAAACTAGCTGTCTCGGCAAACGTTCTTCTGTCATATAAATTATTTCTAGGGAATTTATAGGTTAGAAAAAACTGTTTCCCTTAACATTTAGGGGGATGAAAAAAAGATGTTGTCCGATTCCCCACCCTGGCCGATATGCACACAGAATTTCACGAAAATCGGTCGAGCCGTTTCCGAGAAGTTCAATTACAAACACCGTGACACGAGAGTTTAATATTTTAGATTAGTTTATAAATACAACCTTGCTCCTGAGAGGAACAAGTTTTCTTTAGGTTTTTCATATATATTAAGTGGGAGATAATATACTGATGATAATTGTTAAAATATTCATTGGTATTGAGTCCGGAGATAAACAAGGTACACAGTGATTTTTTTTAAAGTCAGTTACGTTTTTTGTTAATAAAATGTACTTTTATATTTTATAATGAACATCGTAATACATTTTTCTGCAGTAGAGACACGAATTATGTTGCATGACTCGTCTAGGAAGTACCAGGGCCTCATAGAAGACCGAGAAAAAATGGGAATATGGATATATTGTTTTGAGTTTTGTTCGTAAGGTACGTCAGCAAAACTGACTGAATGATCGCGGTAACTGTTTGACCAAACATTGAGTGTAGTGGATCTCTACGCGTGGAAATCCGGTGGTCTGCCCTTTACCGTCTTCTTACTTTATTAGAGAAGAATTAGTTTTGTCATTGGTTGGTATACTCACAACTGGTGCGCGAGGCGGCGAGGGTTGACAGTGCGTTGTTGAGGTGCTTGTACTCGTCTTGGGCGAGGCACAGCCTCTGCTTTTTCACGTCGTACATCTCCCGCTTTGCCTGCAAACAAAATAATATAATATTTATAAACCCCGCTCAGGAATCGGAGATAAAAATCGGAGGGACAGTCTTCTTGTGTCGTATTACTTGCGTTTGTAAATCATTGAAACATAACAGTTGCATCCCACTGTGCTATGCTGACTCGTACACATTGACAACTAAGAAGGCTGTCTTAACACGTACCATTTATGCAATATATTTTCTATATCGCGTAAATAGTATGTGTTAAGACAGCTTTCTTAGTTTCCTTACATAAAACAGCACGATTTTTACCTTACATATAAAGCTACTATTTAAAAAAAAACTTATGAACTGTGTAATAACATAATGATATATTGAACTCTTCTTACATTGGGAGTCTTACGTAGTATTTGACGAGATCCCTACGAATTTTGCAGAAACTCAAATTGAATAAAGAAATATGAATTTCGCTTTGATAACCGCGACGTGTTTGCACCAATTTACTACCGGAATATTACATGTCTCGCGATATTACCATAATGGTGAGCATCGGAGAAAAAAACGACCACGTTAACTGCGGATAAAATCTCGTTTCGGATTAATTTTGTTATTCGTCATTAATTTTTTGCAAACTATAATAACGCTGAGAGGCAGCTTCCACCGTCGGAAATTACGCTCGCGGGTAGGTACGGTTTTATTATTAGTTATATCTTTAAAAAAGCGCTCACAATGTCAGACCAGTAAAGTGATGTCCTTTTGTTAACATAAAACAAGTTTATCGAGTATCAAACATGCGTATGTATGGTATTTAACACATGATTTTACGGCGAATATATCGCTTTTCGCACATGTGCTTTTGGTAATACTTGGGTTTACGAACTGTAAATATAACACAATTTGCGAAGAAGTTAAATCTTAAATAACGTAGGCGTGAACTACGTGATGGGAAGGGGAGTTTGGACAAGTCCATTTTTTTTTATTAACGAAAAATAAAACCGATTGCAAATATCGCGCTCGGTATTTATTTTATAATTAATTTCCAGGAGTTCTCCAAGTGTCTCAGGAGCCCAAGATCCAATACCAATAAATTAATATGGGACCACATGGGAAGTTCCAGCCTTCAAATAAAAAAAGAATCATCAAAATCGGTTCGAACAGACGAAAGTTTTGAGGTAACAAACATAAAAAAAGAAAAAAAACTTAGAACCTCATCATTTTTTGAAGTCGCTTAATAAAATATTGATTGTACATAAGGGTTTTTCTTCGGGAACAAATTGAGAAATAGAAATATGAATAATGACTGTTATTGATATTTTTATTGCAAATTTTGGTCAAGCAGAGCTGTTAATGTTCACGACAATATAACGGAGTATTATTTCTAATCGAATGCAACACGTACAGTAATAAATAATGTAATTGCTAGCCGACGAGGTTGAACCTTCGTCGTAAAAGATCAGCGGTGTGTACATTCGTGGGTAACACGCATTTCGAATAGATATTACCTATTCCTATTGAAATATCTGTCGAAACTTTGACAGATAAGTAGGTACACTATCCAATTTCAGCCTGGCTATTTTATACTATGATATTACTACACACCATAACACTGCCGCTAGGCATTCAGAATGCGTTAAAAAAAACTATATATTAATGTTAAAAATCATATTATATAAAATATTTATTTTTTGATCATAAAAGAGGGAGCATGATAATTATTAGTGAAGGGTACTTACTAAGATGTAAATTCTCACCAAGAAATTATGCGTTTATTTTTTCCTTGAGGCAGATATATAAATCTAAATACCTTTTATCCATACGATAATTAGAGCATATGTTGAAAGAATGTTTAGCACGTTCACGATCACTGTTTTCTCTGCATGGTTAAGGTATTAGATTAAAAAGTTGGATATTTACTTTATAATGTTAAATGTGAATAGAATTTTTTCTTGCCCTCTCTTCTGTGCCTTCCGTACTATCCTTACAGATAGATTGGCTAACATAAGACGTTAATTTTGAGCATCTAAAGTTATAAATGGTGAATGACATGAATGACTTCATAGTTTAGAGTAGTCGACTTTTTTAACAACATTGCCCTTGCTTTAGGATAACAATATCCTGTGTTGTAAGAACGATTTACAAACATAAATTTCATGTGGGCAAACACCCAGATGCGAAACAACTATCTGTGGGTCACACAAATATTTTACGCGGGAATCGAACCCACGACGCCTGACGCCGAAGCCTGACCTTGGCAACTGCGCCACGGACTCTTGGAAATGTTAGAATTGCACGTAACTTTAAACTCTAGCTCGTCGGATTACTCGTCTATGTATATCGGTAGATTGATATCCAGTTCGTGGATACACAAGTAGCCGAGTGTTCCAGGCGGCCAATAACAAACAAACAAAAGAAATGCCGGAGTAATACGAGTCGTCTCTGCCGCGGGGGTCACGGTTAGCGACGGCACGAGACCCAGTCCCGACGAGTCACTGCCGAAATTAACGAGTCATTAGAGCGAAATTCCGTTGCTCTTTTTGCCCAGCGCCGGCCGTACAGATGTACAATGAGAGTCGACTTTTTGTGTGGAATGCGCGCAAAAAGTCTCCCCCGCCACGGCGAACGCGCACGCATCCTGTTCTGTACGGAACGGATCGCCAACGTAATGATACGTTGGGTTGGATTCTCGGCCGAATCTATGGCTAGGGACGCGAGTGTTTCGATCTTTAATCCGAAATCGGCCTCCAATAAACTCGACCCTAAGAAAGCGTTGCAGTAATTGGAAAAACGCATAAGCTCGTCTATGGGATAGGAGAAAGGAATGGAAAGTTCAGAATAGTTTCGCTAAGCTCAATTCACCCCCAAATGTGACGCAACCTCCACGCTCTAAATTACGGCTCCTTAATATATAAAAATGTAACTAACGAATCTTACTTGACAGTTTGAAATAAACAAATGTTGAACATAAAACAGAATTTGGAAATAACAACGTTGCTACATTGAGGCGATAATTTCTGGTTTGGAGCGTAACTGCCGACGGCATAATATCAAAGTAGGGAAAAACGGCGATATTTACTGTGAACAGCCGCAACGAGCCGGTGAGGCTGGCCTGCTGCAGCCGGCGCCACGTGTGCGGCGAGCATTGGGGGAAGGTGCCGTTCCTGCTCAGCACCTGGGTCACCACGTAGCCCTGGCCCTCGTAATAAGCCACCTCCGAGACGGGCACGAGGCGCACTTCCGCCGAGCGCAGCTGCCGCGCCGTCAGAATGTTCTCATAGATCGCCTCGTCCTCCAGGTTCTGGCCTTCGGGGCACAAGCGGTAGCCGTGCTCGCGGCTGATCTCGACCACGCCGGGCGTCTCGCGGATCTCGTCCAGGTTCTGGTACGGCGGCTCGCGCACTCTCAGGCCGGCCGGCCGGACGGTGGCGGGTTCGACGCTGACGGCGTAGTCGCGGACCATTCGGTAGTACGCGCGGTCGCCAGTGGGCCGCGTCGGCTCGGTTCGGGACCACATGGCGAGCGCGCGCGTCCGGCACATCTTAACCCCGGAAAGGGCGCGCGTCGACTGGCGCGGTGCGGAGCGGAGCGGAGCGCGCGGCGGAATGCCAATCTCGGGCGTTTCGGAGGTCGCGCCGCCCTGCTCCGGGCACCGGGCATCTGTTCGGACCCCGGTGACCCCGCCCGGGACGCGTCGAAAACCCCGGCGGCGATTTCGAAAATCCCCGGCGGCGATTTCGAAGATCCCCACGCACTTTTCGAGGCGCGGTAGGCGATAACGCCGCCGCGCTATAAATAACGCTTGCGCCTACAGGACCCGACGGTAAACCTGATTGAGGGACATTGAGGCGCGGGCACAACGCGGCGGCCGGCGGAATGCAAAGAGGCGGCACAATTTCGCGTGCGGCGCGACGCTAATTACGCACTGTTAGAGTGCGATTTTCTCGGCTTTTCCGCGTAATCAATTTGCGCGGTTTAACGGCGGCAGCTCGGTGCGTGGGTCCGGCCGCGCCGCGGCAGATGGACGCTTGGGTTCCTGTGCTGGAATGCCGCCGCCACGCTGACCAGCGAATGCCCAAATTAATTGTTTCCAGTACTCGACGATATTCTTTGCAGTGTATTTCAGTTTGCGAAAGATATTCTTAAGACAACCAATAACACATATTTCTGGCGGGTTTGTTTATTTCAACAAATTAGTATATTCGTTGGTCATGAATTCAATTATAAGTAAAGAAATCGGTCGATTTCTTTATTTATAATTCTAATGACATCGTGGTTATTTTGATGGTTTACAGTTATTTTGATGCCTATCACAAATTCCGAACATTATTGTGCCACAACGCCGTCTACAAACTTCTTACAACTCCGAAGTGAAGTATTCCACGCTGTGCGGCTTCTCATAGTCCAGACGATTTTAAAGACCCATTTACACGGTGCAAGTTTCTTGCCTGTTGTATACAATTAAATGTATACAATTTAATTGGTCTAAACAACAAATGGTCTAACAAATTATTGCGCGCAATTTATTGCATTCAATTATTGCTCTTGTATGTACAAGAAAATGGCATCGTGTAAATGGGCCTTAATTCTTTGCGTCTTACATTATCAAGGCACATAATAGGGAGTGGTTAACGCCACATAATCCATAAAAATAGCTCGCATAACGTACACAGGAACCCGTCGGAGAGACGGTTAACACGCCATCGCCGTGAGCGAACAACAACAAACGCCACTATTCACATGTTGCGTCTATTTGGCCCAATGCCTGAATGCCTCTACCCGAGAACTCTACCGTATTACCCGAGAAACGCCGGTAAAAATTCAGTTAGAGTCGGAAATAGAGGCGTCCGTAGAGGGGGAATATCCGATCGCCTTCGACCCGACCGCTTGGAGATCCCAAACCATGGTGGTGCAAAAGGTGGTTCCATTCCAAAGCCCCTTTCTCTGGACAGTCGCTGATGGGAATAAATAAAATTAATTTACAAATTCACTAGCCTTTACACGCGGCTTTGTTTGTGCGTGCTAATACCGACTTTAATTCAACTTCTCTCGCCACTAGTATTGATAGGGGAACAAGCGTTCAAACATTATTTGTATGTACATTGTGTGTGTAAATGTATTACTTGCTTATAAAGACCGATTCAAATAATATTTTTACACACTTGTCTATATGACATGTTATATAGGAGTGGTGTAGGCACGGACTTAGTATACAGCGTGTCGTTACCATCGCGACAATAAATGAACACACATATAGGGATAACTTTTTAAAGTTGTATTAAACATTTAAATTCTTTAAACATCAATATTTACAGAGTTATTAAATTTTCCAAAACAAAGAATTTTAGAACACCCTTACCTATAAAAGCGTAACGTAAAGTTCATTTGTAAAGGTCACAAAGCATATGAATAGGTTTAATGAATTTAAAAGAGACAAAACATACTCTTAGAAGGAGAGGCTTGTAATGCGACGCTGTGACGCGAGTTGTATAGGATGTTACAAATTTTGTTTCTTTTTTACTTAATTAGTTTGTTTGAAAAATATTTTTTTTTAATTAGGGATTTTGTTTAACGTTAATATTTTTTTATGATTATTGGCAAGTAGCGTTAGACGTGTGTTCATTTATTGTCGCGATGGTAACGACACGCTGTATATAACGTTAATGCGATTGAAAATACTTCTTTGGTTAAGCATACCTGTCCATTTTTATCTCTTATCCATTTTTTGGCAACCGTTCTAATCATAGAGTATATAATAGTTAGCTTGCAAAAGTTCCTTTTGAAACACAGAAGTGGGAAACAATTTAGTCACATGGGTGACGAAATTGGACTTTTATCAAACAGGAAGGTCAAGGTCTATACTACGACACGGCCGGTCCCCTTTACGAAGGCGGGGACCCGCCCGCCGCGACCGTACCAGCCGCTTTAACCGCGCGTAAACCGAAATCGACCGATAAAATAATAATAAAAACCGATCGTAAATCCAGTGCGGCCGCCTCAAATTATTTCCCAATTCGACGGCCGGGGCTGCGCTGCGTCCGCCGTCTAGAATGTACGGCGCGCCACTTTCTATCCGAGTCGATTTTTATTACACGCCCGCACCTGACGGGTACGGGCGTCATTCCATCGACCTCTGGCTTGATTTAATTGCGCACGGGAGACACCATTTTCGTTGGGCCGCCTTCGAAAACTCGACCGTTACGGTGTTCAACAGACTTAAAAGACAGGAGGTTCGCAATTCGGTCGTATTTTTTTATAACTGTTGCGTCGGAACTCATTCACGATTATAAATTGTTTCTGCATTGGGTTCGATTTAGCTACCATTGGGTCCCTTATTAATCTCAATGGTATAGGACCTTGGAATCCGGAGATACTTCAGGGCACTCCTCCAAATCTAATAGAAAATGTACAATGAGTGTTGTTGACTTGCTATATTTCGCTCCGTTTATACTTTTGCTGTCTCAACCATATTGAAAATATTTTTTGTGTCAGTAAGCAGAGAAGCATGCAAACAATCTATAGCCCAACGCTCCTCCAAGAATCAAGATGAAGGTGTTCTGTCAGTCTTTAAGACTAAGATGGAACGCCTCGTTACTGGAAATTACATCTGCGTGAGAAATGCGTTATATGCATAGATAATAAGTTTTCGTTAAGGAAACTAGCAATGGACGGTCCGTTTCTAGTTCTATACGCATATTGTTGAGTTTTCTTTAATAGATAGGCATAATTTTCTAACGGTTACTATTTAATTAATTTAATTTTTTGTGTGGTAAACGTATTTAATTTGACAAATAATTTAAACAGGAATTATCTTATTTCTGATGATTCAATTCTGTTTTTTAACTAAACTAAATCATAATCATTAACTCGAGATCGAAGTATGGTTCAATTTCAAAGATATATCTGGTTCAGATTTTGTAACAAAACACGTTAAAATTAACCATCCACAATTCAATACTGCCTACATAAACAGTAAATGTATTGAGTAATATTTAGGTACATAAATCATCTCAAAATCCTGCGCGGGATTGTTTCGTTTTTTTTTTTAATAATTATTTTCTTATTGTCGGAATCTGTAAGTTTGCCGTGGGGGTATAAGGATCACATCTGCCTCCCCCAGACCGGTTACTTTTCGACTCATTCTACCGTTCGGACGTCTCGTTCGCACACACTCGAGCTGTCGGATGCTGCGATCCCGCTCCCTCCCGCCGCATCCATTTTAAGTTTTTTTTTCGCTTCGCCTATCTTGGATACGAACGGTGGAGTTTTCTCTCCCTCTAATAATAGGTGCTTTTTTATATGTTATTATGAGTTACATTATGGCGCAAATCACGGTATAAAGCTTAATTTTATTAGGTGCTTAAATTGTTTAATGGCAACGAAATCCTGAGAACAAAAATATTCATTTAATATTTTAATTTCAGACTCACAAACAGATTTATAGTAGTAGAGTGAATATTTTTATAATAATGAAGTTTCTCTTATCCGCCTTTATTATTCCCCCTTTTTTTGAATTCTCGTAAAAGCATAAAAGGTCCAACAAAAACACAGGAATTCCTGTGTCTAAGAGAAACTTCCATGTATGCTCGAACAATAGGTAGGTACAAGCAACCGATGCAATCGACGTCTCGCAAATTCAATACGTAACTCGCTTATGCACTGATAACACATACGCCATTCATGTACATTGTTACGAGCAAAAAAATATACAGGCAACATTAAAGGTGGTTCAGAAAATATGAAACTTAAAACTTAAATAGTAAAAGATAATTTATCAATAAAAACTTTCATTACATCCAATAGGCACCTCCTACTCTCAAAAAAGGAACAATTTTAAACATAGAACGTCGAAAGTTTCCGTATAAAAAAATTGAACTTTCAAAAATCGAACCGTTCGAAATTCAAAAAGGGCGCGAAACCGTCGAGCCCGTCGATACTCGATTTCACGCGGCCGCCGCCGGGCCGGGCCGATACATAAAACAAAAGGCCCCGCGGCCCGTGGGGCCTAGATAGGAGCGAGCGCATCCGAAATTTAAGCCGCCCTCGGCCCCGGTGCATGGGACGTTTCGTTTTTATTGCGTTCGGACGGAGCACCGGGCCGACGCTTGGATGCGATTAAAATTCCTGAGATGCCTCGCGCCGCGGACCGGCCGACCGGTCCACAGCCCCAACAAGCCGGAGACAATCCCTCGTTATATTGTTGTAACCAAATAACCATAGATTATTACCATATATAGACCTTTTCTCTACAAACTAGGTACATGTAATGCAATAACAACACACCTTTAGTAGTTACTGATTATAACAACAGTAATGATGATAACAGCCTCAACTCAAAGCTATATCCTTTCTAACTTAACCGAAATAACTTTTCTCCATAAAATATTTTAAAAATCGTAGATTTTAAGTTGCGTTTACTTACATTTGACCCTATTGCTACGTGATGTAATACATTATCGGGACACAAAATGCTTAAATAATTCCGAAGCGAGCGTATCTTTGATACAGTTACAATAAACATTTTACTATTTTAACATGTAAAGTGTACACAAAAATGTACACGAAGCTCGAACATAAGGTTCACTTATGCATTAAAAAGGCGCACAAATTAATTCCGATATATCGATAAACCAGTTTCGAATGACCACGACATTTTTGTTACATCTCCTGTATGCAGCACATTTACAATTATTTTAAAATCATAATTTTAATTTATAATCGTGCCATGTCTGTCGATTCTAAATCCACGGCATCACGAGAGCCTGTTGCAGCGAGGAGTCCAGGCCCGCGGGCGAGCCGCATTAGCATATGACAAAAATTATAACCATTAAAAAGAGACGCGACACGTGCCTGAAGCTGTGTACATTTTACGACAAAGTAACTATAAAATCGTAGACTGTAAACGAGAACAATTCTCGTTTTCATGAAAACGTTTCGAAAGAATGGTCTTGACATTCGAAATTCGAAATTCAAATCTGTCTGTCACATCACGCGATTTCATTTCTTTTGCTTTTTTTTTTTAATTTGGCATCATTTCTTTTTTTAGATGCTTATATTATGTTTACAGTTTTTGAAATTCACCTAGCACCAAGTGGCGCCATCTATAACGATAATATTTCAAACACAAAAATAAATACACTCACAAATAATATTTAAAAATGTCCACTGTGTCATTATGCACTTTAACTTTAATAAAAAAAGATAAAAAAAAATAAGTATAAATTATATAACATACCATGTTATATGTAAGGCGAAAAACAATAAATATTTATAATAGAAAAAAGATCGTGGCATGCAAAAGAAAATATAATTTAAATTCTATTTAGAACGAATCCATTGGGATGCGATCTTCTAAAGGAATTTAAATATTAATATTGCATGTTCTTAGAAGACGTGTGACAAGAAAAAGTGCACCGTCTGTGGAACCATGCTCGACCTGGGATCGAACCCACGACCAAATACAACAAGTTACAAGATCACAGCATAACAACACACACCAGTAAGCCTACACGCATAGCAGCAAAATTATAGTACAGTATTACAGAAATCTCAAAGTATTAACATCGAAATACATTTCGTTCAATGCACTCATCTTGTTTAGGCAAGAAATGAAGTGATATTTTGATGTTCTAGACTTAAGATGGCTTCGGATTTTCTTGAAATAAAATTTCTTGAATTTTGTGAACTGGGTTTTTTATTTTTCCTTTTACAACAGAGAACGGCGAGAAAAGAAGTGGGAACGACAATTTTTACGTTGACATATGGCCAAGATAGAAACGTATATTTTTTTTAATTATTCGCCTGGCGGTATGCAATTTGAGCCGTCAAAATAAAAAGACCTATACACCAATATAAGAAATTTATTCACAATAACGCATTCGCAATCCACCGGAACAAAAGCAGAGTATAACACTAGTCCCAGCAATCTCAAAACATAAGCCGGTAATATCCATCCATCAAAACACGGCGTACCAACACGAAAACAGAAATAATACCCCAAAAATTATTCATATCCCGCCCTCGCGTGTTCTCGCTTTACGATTAAACGACACTAGGGCTGCCAGTAGGTATTAAAAAAAACCGAAATAACATTCGACCGAGAAACTTTGGGAGGGGAAAAAACCCAATTTGCAATACGCAATTTATAATGGAATGACAAAAAAAAAACAAACGAAAGCAACACACGCTCTCGACGACAGTATACTGTGCAGGAATAACGGACTCAAAATACCGGACACCTGGCAACCCTTCGAGAGGGAAAAGAAAAGAGGCGAAAAGGAACAAAAGAAAAAGAAATGAGAGAAAAATGAACAAAAAGCACACGACAGAAGGCCGCGGTCGGCCGCACGAAACGCGAGGGCCCCTACCTTTTTCGTTTTTTACTCTCATATTCTTATTATTGGGCCCGACCGACCGCTCCCGGTGTTACGAGAGAGGAATGCGCCATAGAGCGACGCGCCGACAGACGCGACACGGGATTTTTTGCCCACCTTTACTGAAACTGACGCACGCAAGCACTGCGCAATTCGGTCTAACTAAACACCTATTAGGTAAAACCAACACTGGAAAACGCATCGCACAAGCGGACATATCGCAAAATTAAAATACATCGGCGAGCTTCGTCCGTTAGTAATTCAGGTATAATTTTCTCTTGAGCTCAAATCGCGAGACCAACTTCCCTCAGTTTCGGGTTGTGGCGGGACACTCAATCCGAGTCCCTCTAACATTCTCATCTAGCGCCGAGGCCATACGTTACCATTTTTAAAGCCAAATCCCGTAACGGTTTCGTAAGGCGACGGCTACCGGCGCCCGATTAAAACCCCATTCCGCAGTCCGCGACCATAACAAACACCATAAACCGCTTTTTTTCTTATACTCATCGACCTATCACGTTGGACTCGGCAGCCAGCACTCGGTAATTGAACGTACGGCGAACGAAAGCGCGTCGCATGCGATTGGGAACGAATGAAATCGAGACGGTGCTAACTAACTATTAAATTATAGTTTACTTCTAGTCTACATTCCGAAGATAAGACTGCTTCAGAGGATTTAATGTATGGCACAATTAATAACAATATGAATTTATTCCTATTGGTTTATTTGCAACGCATTATCTTTATTTATAACTTGATGCTTAAGCGAACGGCTATCCAGTGTTTATGCCAGTCTCGCCAACAGAATTCATTACAGGCTCCTTGAAATTCCACCTGCAAGGCATATTCATAACGAGCATGAAGGCATGTTAATATGGGAAAGGCATCTATCGGGGATTGTTATTTTTAACTCATTTATTGTCTTGTTTGTGCTTAACTTTTTTCTTTTTGTAAGAAAAAAACTTTATCCATACAGTAAGATATGTTAATTCGTTGTATTCAAAAGCAGCTTCAGACAAATATTGTCTGCATGTCAAACGAATATTTGTATGAAAATGTCAATCGCTAAGCACCAATGGCAAGGGTATTTGACTTACATTTATTTATCTATACTACTTTTACTCAGTACGTGTAATATATATGCGGAATAAATGAAAAAGGCATTCAAATGCAAAAAAATCTTAAAGGGAGAAGTGATTAGTTAAATAAATATACAATTTCATTAAGTTAAAAGAAAATGGTAAAACATATAAAGAATAACTAATGATTCTGTCCTATTATTAAATGAAATCCTATTCATAAGGAAATTCATATACGAACTTAATGAAGATCGTTAATTTTATTTAAAACTAGTTAAACAATAATTCTCATCTTCATTGTTGTATATCATTTACTCTCTTTTGACCCAAAAAGATTTTTTACAGTGCATGGATTGCACAATGGTTGGTCCTTACTGCCAATCAGCCGTTGTTGGTTCGATCCCCGCGCGGGACAAAAAGTAGGCTTTAGTTAGTTAAGGTTAAGGTTAGTGCGTCCGAATCCGAGGGTACTTGCCTTGTAAATCGCCGGCTACTCAGGAATTACTCCAAGTAATGTTTTAAAAGGAGAAAGAGTGGATACGAATTCCGATGTTGCTTTAGCAACGCTATCAGCATTTTCAACAATAAGAGAACAATCGAGATTTACGCCGGGACCCTCGTAAAAGATGATCAGCTCTACCTGCGGCCTTCGGGAAGTAAACATTTGTGGAATGCGGGTAAAAAAGAAGTAAAAAAAAACCTCTCGTGAGAAGCGGGGGGAAAAAAACGCGGGCATTCTTCGACGAGGATGGGAAACGTGCGTTCTAGGAATTCGCGTGCCATAGAATGGGGCCATTGTTGGCTACATAAGAGGTACGGTCCGCCGACGAAGTTGTCCCGTTACCCGCTAATGTTGCAGCCTAATTGCCTGGTGATAGGGGGTATTTTCGTTGGACAACAGACCTCGGACGCCTCGCCCCGAGTGCTTCTCCGTATTTCACACTTCGTGTTTAGTGGCCAACTGTAACGCGGCTAAGCCGTCGTTTGTTAGTTAATTAGGGTCCTAACGCCCGGCGATTAAAACACAAAAGCAACAATTGATGAATTTAAACATTCCTTATCGCGTTTTTTTTTTAAATTTCAAAAGCGTAGTTACAGTGAGCGGTTCACCAGATTGGAAGTATTGTCGCCAACTGCTTCACGGCACCAGTTATTTAGAAAATATAAGATTGCATATTTTATCTGATCTGATCTCTTTTCACAGTGTTTTCCTTCAGCGTTGAGCTTGTGATGAGTTGGTAATTAGAATTTATATTAAAAATTTAATTTGCGCCTGGGGTATACCGAAAAGTAAGCGCCTGTACGGTAAGTTGTCACGACTCTGACGGTCTTCGGTGTCCTCAGCCATCAAAGGAAAATCAAAAAAGTAAACAGTTTTATTTCAAAGCGATCTTCTTTGCCCGTAGCACTTCCTAAAGGCTTAAAAAGTATTAAAATATATAATAAAATATTGTATACGGTTTACTATCTTCACTAAAATTGTATTTTTAAGCACGTCCTATGTCGACTATGAGGATGAAAATCTCCGGCGCCACTGCTACAAGGCTCAGAATATGCTCAATTAGTTCAATCGGAGAAAAAAAATGTTTACAATGAAACAGTCTTTGAGATGCAACTTACAAATTTCATAAAACCCTAAGTTATAGAACCTGAAGCATTTTTTAAATATTTTTATGTGTTTTCTTCGATCAAATATAGAATGATCGGAAAAAATAATGAGAATTAAACTCTTTTCATCGAAGTTCTCTTTCTCATTGAAGTCTTTCAGGGTTGCATTGAATTTTAACGCTACCTATAATGTAAGCGAAGACTAACAAAGTTTCAGTCCACTAAATTATTCCGAATCGAATTCGAGGTACAGCCTATTTATTACCAACAAAGCGTGGTTGCTTATACTGTTTGTAATTCTACATTCCATCAAGTCCAAAGTTCAAACTCGGGTCGGGACAAATCAATTTCAACGTGCCCCCCCAGGGGGGAATGACAGGCGTTCACATTGTGGTGCATTTTATAACAGCAATAAGTATAAACAAGATAAATGGTGCATACGTACAAGTCTATTTTCTAATCAATCAATATATATATATAAGTCAATTTTATATCGTCCAGATTACGATGTTATTAAGCGAATATGCATCATGCATCACTACCCATAAATATTTCCATCCCATTTATTGATAAAAAATCTCCCCCAACACTAAAAAGGAGACAAAATTCTGTGCTTTCAATGAAATTGAAAAACTGGTCATTGATCATCAGCGATGATACTAAAGGCAGCCGTACTAAAAATAGCTCACGGAATAGCGTTAGCGATTTTCATTTAAAATCAGCACACAGCTGCGTCACAATTAGTATGATTACAGCAAAAACTGCGAGAAAAAAAAACGCGCAATCCGAAAATGCGATACACCGCTCTGGGGCGCTATTTGGACGGCGTTCTGCGGGTGTTTAATACACGATAATTCTGGACCCTGAGCTATAATAAAGACCCCGGGGTGTCATTACAAATGGCAGCGACACGGCACCAGCCAAGTGAACACGCCCGGCGAATTCGAATTATCTTAAATGTTACAATTACCCCAGATTATAACAGCGTAACCAAGTAACAAATAGTCACCCACAACTCATGAAGTAACCATATATAATTAGATAAGAATAGGACTGATCTCGCGCCATTTTGTGGCGAAACACGAAAGTATTATACTTCACTTTACGACGGTCCTCTGTGAGGTCGTAGTACTTAACCGGGCGAGCCTGCCCATTCGTGCAACAGCCGAGGCTGCTGGCCCTAGCACAGTTGAATTAATCGGTGTTAACATTTCTATTTCACCCGTTTCTGCATCACGGTGTAAGTAGTCATCATCTTCATTATCATCATCACTGCTGCTTGCAGGTACTAGATTGGGAGAATCATAAGAATGGAAACATAAAGATTGCATTTCCGAAGTACGAGGTTCCAACGTTGTGCCTTAATATAGATTCGTATATGTGGTAATTACCTTGATATTTTTATCAAGTCGGACGAAATACATTGTACTACAAAGTACAATGCGTTATAAAATATGAACGCAGCCGATACAATGAAATGCGCCCGTCGCGATTTAGAAGCGCGGTATTAAGTGCGTAGTAAAGTGAGTTCGCATAACTCGCGAGTGCGCTCGCGTCGTATTCGACGAACGGGCACGGACCGTGGGGGAAAAAGGGAAAGAAAAAGTCGGAGTCCTTGAGCACAGGCCAAGAGCAAATCCACCCTCCACAATTAGAACCGCGCCCGGGACAAATAGTGTCGGGTGTAGCTAAATTGTAACTTTAATTCAACATAGCATAGCAAAAATTATAGACTATATATTAGATGTCCCATGCGAAGAAGGTATACATAAGAAGGTAAGGCCACCGTTTCCTAGCGAGATCTGGAAAAAAGTAAGTCTCGAGAAATCTAGAACCCGTTCTAGAACCTTCCACGTCATCGTCAATGCACCGACACGTGACTGGCATGCAGAGCGGCATATTCGCAGCTCTTTAAAAAATAGAAAGCAAATCTATTCTAGAACCTTCCGCCTAAGCGATGATCAAATCGAGTCCGTTCCAGAATCTCGATCGGCGTTGCGTAATGCGACGCGCAAGCAACACTCGCCAGCCCTACACGCGGCGGCGGACGAAGCGAGGCCGCGGTCCGCCGTAACATTAGCCCGCCGGGAACAATAAGGCACGCGTCGAGGTCGAGGACGCCCGCGCAGCCTTCCCCGGCCTTCAACCCGCCACAGGGCTGCCACCCGCGCAAAGCCTTCAAAGCACAGCCTTTTCTGTGAGTTGCGTCATACTGTGGGGATATACCATCTCCAAAGTATGGTTCAACCGAGCTTTTTCTAGACGACCCTTGCAACGCGACATGATGAGGCGTATTCAAAAAGTGTAAATACTGTTAGTTGCCATTCTTGAAGAATTTTTCCGGTTACATCAAAACTAGAGGTACATAAGAATTGTGGGGAAATAGTACGTTATGGTACCCGATACCAGTACCAATGAAATTGTTGATTACTATTTTAAGCACTGACTTATCTAATACTCAGTAGTGATGGAAAACATCTTGAAGAGACGTGCATATTTTCAATAAAATAATTCAAGATATATATCAAGTATTTCAATCCGCAGGGGGTCCTCCCATGGTAGACTACGCCCTAATACAGTCTGAACAAAGGAGGGCCGCAGTGGGACATACAAATATATCGGGTGTTACTTTACTTTTATTTTCTTAGAGAGAACTACTTAGAACAATACATGCAGGAATGGGCAGGTCCCGCCGGGGTAGTACCACGACGTCACAGAAGACCGGCGTTAAGTGGAAGTGTTATACTTCTGCGTTTCGTCTGGTGACTGAGGTAGCCGGGGACCACTTTATTAAAAGGTATCAACGCAACTGCAACCCTATCGCCGTTGCAAATGAACATGGGCGGCGGATATCACTTAACATCGGATGAACCGCTAGCTCCCTAGCCATCTTCTCATATTAAAAAAATGTCATTTATACTGCAAGCTACACGATTTACGTAAATCTAAGGAGAATATGACAACAAAAAATATTATTATAATTTTGCGTTTTTTCTGCACTTTTGACTTTCTTTTTTGCTTTTAGTCCGTAGACTATTAGAGCTTCGAACGCAGAACTTACACGGAAATTTGTAGAAGATAAACTCATTTCTGTTTTTACATGCTTTATAGCGATGTTATCACAAGATTTTTAACACATATTGAAATACGATTGCATTACTTCAGTCCTAATTTTTTTATGTAATATGCTGCTACTTTTAAAATTTTGTAAATATCGTTCTTATTTTATAAGCCTCCATCTACACCCTAGGCAAATTTTCTAAATCGGCCTGAAATCTCCCGTATAACGAACAGTTAAAAATTTAAATTACTGTACAAAGCTTAACGATGTAATAACATCGTGACTACTGTACGCATAAAATAATTGACAATTAAATCTTATAGCTATGAAACGCCGTTTTGCAATAATTATTATCTTCCAAGATATTTTGGAAGTTTTCCGTGCGTTTGTAATCGTTTCTACATTTAATTACCATGTATTACTTCATGGCAGTCTATGGGGGAGGCCTATGTTCAGCAGTGGACTCAAACAGGCTGAAATGATTATGATGAAAAAAAAAAACTCGTATGAATAATTTGTGATAATTTTGTATACAAATTAAATTTATTATTTTTTAACGAATTGGCAACCCTACCTGTGTCCATACACTTCAGCTTACGTCGCCATAACGTCCTTTCAATAAGACGAGTGAAATGCTAGAACTTGAAGGCAGGTTTTCTTGCTTGTGTTTTGCGAATAAACTGAGTAAGAAAACAGCCGAGTGTTCGCTTTAAAATAAACAACATATATGTTTAGAAATTATATTGATATAAAAATATAAACGTAATAAGCTTTTAGTCGCAACATGCCTATAATGCATGAACCACAGATAGCATAATTTCGATAAATTGACAACAAGCATATATAAAATACTAACAAGCAGTGACTTTTACCGAAGTGCTGCTCATTTACAAAGAAACTGCTTTACTCTCATAAAACACATGTACAACTTTTGCGCCATCATAAATAGAATTTCCTTAATCAGGAATAAGCAAAACAATAGATGAGTGCGAAAAGGTAACAGATAATAACAGACCTAAATTATTCTTCAAAGAGAAGAAATGAAAATGGGCCTCCATTTAAAAATATTACCCACATGGAGGAATGCCAGATTTGGCATTGGCTAAAGTTTATACGGAGAAGATGTAGAAAGATAACATGTATGTACTATATTTGTAGTGTAATTACAAGGAAGATATAATAAAAAAAGTCATTGTTTACGTTCATACTGTCAATGTCAAACACGAAATAATCAGTTGACAAACAGTTGCAAAGAGTGAAGATCGTTATCAAAGTGTTTAAAATGTCATATTGACTGAACAACTGAGAAAAATTCACTATTTGAATTTGAAATTAAATGAATTACGAGCAATAGGCAAGTAGTAGTTGATAGAGATTTTTATTAATTATAGATAGTTAATAAAAAATCTTTAGACTATAGATGATTCGGTGGCACTATTGCTAAGATATTGGCTTCGGCGTCGGGGTCGTGGGTTCGATGCCCATACGGGACAAGCACACGTGACATTATGTGACCCATAGATAATTGTTCCGGCTCTGGGTGTTTGTTTCCTAAGGGTTGACATTAGAAGGCGGCCGGTCATAAAAACATAACCAAAACCGTTTAACATTATTAACATGTGCCGACTCCACCTATGTGTGAAAATTGAAGGAGGATTATGATATAACTCGTACTAAAATTAATTAATACATATTGATACTCTACAAGTCAACAACCAATCGACAACACGAGCTTCACATCATGACGTTGTCGCTCAACGGTTATAAGCGTTTACTAAAACGGTTGCGTTTTAATCGACGCCCAAATCTCGCGGACTCGTTGAAGATCTTCGAAGCTTCGTGACTCGGTGCCGACCGGAATCCGAGCGTCGTAAACTCGTGCAACGGTTTCTTTATGACATCTTAAAAGGAAATCTGCATACCGCGCCGGAATGATGGATGCCCATTCGAAAAAATCCGAAACTCGTAAATGCACGGATGGGAACCGTCTAATGGGCGCGACGGTAATCGAAACGAAGAAGAAGATATATCGTTTACTCGACCCGTTAACACAAACTCGTTACGTCATCGAAATGCCGGCAAACTATTTCGAGACTGTAATCGTTATCGTCCTTCACATTAATATTTAAGCGTACTGAGGTCGTGTCACCGTCCTAAACGCGTCCATTGTGAGCGCGTCGCGTGATAAATCACCGGCCATTTTGGTTACAAAACACCGTAGGGCACATCCAGATACGGGCACTTAAACTTATCTAAAACGCAAAGCTACCATAGTAAATGAGTGAAGTGTCACAAATATGTGGCAGGGGCCCGCGGGCCGTCAAAACTTTATGAACGCGGCGGGAGAGTGGCATTCCGTTGCATCGGGAGGACTATTAACGGGACCGCGTCGTTTTGTAACACGTCGAAACAACGAGAACCACAGATTAAGCAACGCAGAGTGCATACATACTCATACACTTCGGACGAGGCTTAAGCCGGATTTCTGAAACACTGATCATCACCAAAATGATCTTCTGAATGACCAGAATGATCAATTCAAAGAGTTTAAGCATCCTTCTGGCAACTAATATGAAATTTGAAGAGCAATTTTTTTAGATTAGTTGACATCTACGATGATCGGTGTTTCAGAAACCGGGCGTTGGTATCTTAGGCTTGGGGTCATCCGGCGAGGTCGAAGAAACCTCACCGGTGGCGCTTAATCCAATTTTGTCGGTGTACGCATCTGAGATTTCTATAAAAACTGGCGGCATCCCAGCCGGGGATAGAAGAATGTCGCCCGTAAGCCCGAGATTTACGAGGCGGACCCCAGGGGACAATGGACGGAGGCTACCGCGCTACGCGGCCCGAGATTAGATAGCGCTAAATGAGTCTTTGTGTCAGGGCAGATTGACGGGCAATGCGGCCCACGCTGATTATTATTCAAATGGCCCTTCGGGAGAGAGCGAAGGTATTTCCACATTTGACCCCACGCCACTAATGCACACGAAACTATTCTGTACGTCTGTGTGTAAGTTTTATGTGGAGACCAAGTTTATCCCACCAATAAGTCGCAATGCAATAAAAGCTTTTGGTTGGTCCGCGATGAACAAAACAAAATAATCCGTCTGTGATTTCGTGTATTACTTGTTAACTTTTACTAAATAAAGGTGTAGATTCAACTATGAGTCTTTTGTAATGGTCAAAGGTTAAACTTTGACCTTAAGAAAATATAATTTCAACGGTTATTTTCAAAATGAAGGCGGGACAATTATAACAAACTTATCGCCGTACCCGACGACAAGAGGGCTGGTCCTTTTCTCGCTCAAAGTTTAAGCATCACTGTCCAGAGAGGAAATGCAGCCAGCATTTTGGCACCACGCCACGTGGACTAGGTTTGTTAGACAATGTGTAGTTTAGTTAGATTTAATGTCATAAATAATGGATAAATGTTTCTATATTCAATACAAACAATTTTATATGAATAGAAACATAAGCAAGCAACTTTCAAAATCAATATTCTGTGCAAACAAGTGCAGTTCCGTCGCTGACATTTTCTTAGGCGTCGGTTACGACACTGAAAGATGTGATAAACGCAACATGCAGGGTCGACAGCATCGAAAAGAATATACTTTTGCAACGAAAGCAAAATGCCAAATACTAACATAATATTTTAATAAAACTGTCATTACCTACAGAAATAGCTGTCCCAAAACATTTGTGTAACATTTATATCTGGTATATCATGACAACTGCAAATGTGAATACTTAGGTACTTGTATCCTTTGGATTGTACATTAAAATTTGAATAGGTATTACAGAACTAAGTACATATGTGGTTACGTATACCAGAAATCTGATGACCGTACATGGATTCAATTCAGACAGTTCATGGTCACATAAATCCTTGTCTCCACCCGCCACCTCGTACGCGTAAACCTTTAAATATGGTTAGAGCGCGTTATAATTATAAAGAACCGTGAACGCAATGGGCCAAAGAAGTGTAGTGGTTTTAAATAAAACGCGTGGAATGTTTATCATTCGAAATTCCCCGGTTTACGAGCACGCGTACGGTCGGCAGGTTAGTCGGGGCCTTAGTAAGATATTCCTTACAGTTTTAGAATGAAAATACCAAAAAGCAAAGTTCTTTCTGCGTTCTTTTTAATTAAGACAATTACTCGATGTCGAATCGTCAGGAATCAGGTTATAATAACTTCATCTGAATCAAGTTCAGTTGTACACTTTAGGTACATCGTTTTTTTATGCCAGGGCAGTTGTCTAATGTATTTGGTTAACTTAACTGGTCTGTAGTCGTTTTAAATCGTCTTGTCGTCGTGTAGTCGCATCGAATATAAGAATCCACTTTACATGGTGGATATATGGGACTAACAAAAACTGAAGAGCAACTAGAGCGGAAAAATGCATGGAATAGCTAAAATACGTAAATCTTTTTGTGAATATCTCTTTTAAAGCTAAATTTGATGAAAATGTCAAATTAATTCGTTGGCGTGTACTTTAATCGTGACCATTTGTTCTTTTTTATAGACATAATAATAAAACATGAGAATCAAAACCTTATCTGCTAACGATATGGTTAAACCTGATGCGCGCGGGATGCATGTGGACGTTACAATGAGTTTCGAAGCCATCGAAGCTCCGCCTTAATCCGCAACGAGTTATGCGGCTTTAATTTCACAATTTTACATAAAAACGGTCATCAGCCGTTATTTATTTCACTCCGACGCGTGAGCTTTTAGACGACGCTTACATTGTTTCGATGGTATTTCAACGTAAACGCCATAGATTAGGAGGCGTAGACGGTTCCCAGTTTTTATCAGCATCCGTTCGACGTCGAACCTGTCTCCATGTTTAACTATGTTAGGGCGCAACAGTATTCGATGTTGTAGAGATGGGCAGGTGGCGTACTACTTTCCCAGGCAAGATTGGGCAAACCAACGATAGTATAATACTGTAACCGGAGCCCACTTTTTAATATTTGGCAAGGCATCTCCAACCCTAAGTCACGTATACCAACTTAGGACTTTTAGAAATTATACAATTGAAGTTTTTTTTTTGAGGTAAATTCAAACCAAAACTTCCTAAATGTTCCTCATTTGCGATTTTTTGGTTAGAATTTAGTGAATTTTGCTGGATTTTAGTGAGTTTTTGAATTGCTTTAGGAGTATGATTTCTTGAATAGTTGTTAACACTGCCCTCCGGGTGTTGCAAGCGGCCCCAGGCGGCGGTTATCGTTTAACATCAGGCGAACCGACAGCTTGCTTGCCAGCCTCTATTTAAAAAAAAAAATTAACATAGAACCGATATAACCTCAAGATCAAGAACACATCTGTTCTAAGATCTGACATTTGGAAAGTGCTCGTACAAATTGCCAAAAAAACTAATCCCCTTCACCTCGCCTGTTCCGTTGATCTGACAATAGTCAAATTAGCATTCGCGATGTACAATCATCCGACTGATGGAAGATTTTCGCGGGGCTACGTCAAACGCTATCTCTTGTTCTTTAATCAATTAACGCGGCTACGAAAAAAAGTACAGAGCTTAGTGTATACGTAAAGGTTATTATAAAAGATATACCTATCGCCTTTGCAAATAGAAAAGTTTGATGAATCTCTGATGGATACGAACAAAAAATGAATTACTACAATACAACATCACGATAAACATTTATATGGTTGAACATAAAAATTCCTCGAGAACTTTCTCGTATTTGAAGTCTCCTAATGAAACAAACAGCGTTGATAGGTTTGATTCATAGCAAGCTTAGTCTTCTTCTACCTGGCATTAATCCGGCTATTGCCAAGGCCTCCCTTCTGTTCTGTTAGGTCGTGGTGCTTCAACAGACGGAATAGCCCATTCCCATTCTAACAACAGCGAAGACTGCTTGTGTCCCACCACAGTAAGTTAAGGGCGGTTAACATTACTCAAAAACATACAGAGGTTTAATTTCGATTCCCCGCCTGTTCTGCAATCTGTACACGTGAAAAGCGCCAGAATTGTTGTAATGCGCCGCTCACGCGCGTCCGTTGCGCGGGAAACCGTATAACTCTGGATGTATTCGTTACGACGGAGTATGAATAAAATTTAATTGCCCCAGCGCCGAGTTTCGGGCCTAAGCAAGTGGGGCGGCCGGGATGGCGAGTGCAGCTTTACGGTATTATTTGGCGGCTGAGGAATTTCGCAGCCGATCCGAGCGGACAATCGTCTCCCAGTCTGCGGTCTCGGATTCGAACGGAACTCACTAAGAGATATGGAAATTGTATAGCAATGCGACTTATTTGTTGTGTGAATCTGAGTAATAAGAGTAATATTAGTAATGTACGAACGATGAACAGGAAACAACCGAATTTAGAAGCAACAATTTTAACTTGTCTTAAGAAAGAGACTACAACATTTTAAGCTGTGATATAAATAATAATAATTTTTTTCAAATAATCAAAATTGTTCTTTATAAGCTGAATACCGAATTCTTGGCGAGCCGCAAATTTATGTGCTATTTTAGATATTCAAATCTGACATCATAAATATCCGACGTATAACAACTAATCTACAAATGACTACAGATAGTGAATTTTAATCGACCTCCTCCTTTGAATATACACTGCGTTGCACTAAAACACACACCACGCTGAATTACGAGACAACCGTACGCCCATACTTACCATACATACTTCATCCGCAACAACAAAACGAAGAGTTATAATTAAACCTTGCAACCGGAATGCGGCGCGTCGAAGAAAAATAATATTTAATAAGACCTTCGTAAATAGAACTGAACAAGTTGATCCACAGCATATTCCAGACAATGTTCAAAGCCGTCGTTTGTTAGCATAAAATAAGAGAAATACATGCCCAATGATCTCGTAGGTGTTTTATTATTTCCATAATAGTATACTCTGTTTTATCCTTCATTCGATCTTTTATTGTGAGGAAAATATGTCAGTGTTTTGGAAGTCTCTAATCGCACTTAAACACACGGTGTCGAATAAAATGCTTGCAAAAAGAGTTTTATATAATACTAGCGACCCGCCCCGGCTCGCACGGGTGCAATGCTGAATGTTCTTTTTCGAAATCGCATTAGAAACCTCTAAAATTTTATCAGTGTTTCTCTACTATATTATGCATGAATTATACATATAAAACTTCCTCTTGAATCACTATCTATTCATTTCTACGGTGGTAGGGCCACGCAGCAGCCTCGGCTGTTGCACGAATGGGCTGGCTCATCCTGGTAAGTACAACGTCCTCACAGAAGACCAGCGTAAAGTGGAAGTATAATACGTTCGCGTTTCGTCTGGTGAGTGAGGTGGCCGGAGCTCAATTTTCAAAAGGTTGTCAACGCATGGCATGGCAACTTTTCACATAAAAAAAAGAAAACCGCATCAAAATCCATTGCGTAGTTTTAAAGATCTAAGCATATATGGACAGACTTGGTTTTATACTATGTAGTGAAAATTAATTTATATTCGTATCAGGCAGAGCAATAAAATAATATAGCCACCAAGGTGTAATTTGCAAAACAGAATTTCATTGCCGTACTTTACTGATATATCGCCTGTGCTCCCCAGACAGGTGTTATCAACACACGTATATTTCTAACATTCTAAAAATACGTCAATAGCAAAATTAAGGGAAAGATTGATATATTTAACTGTAGAAATTTAAATTGTTTATAGTGCTAATCTTTGCACTTAAGATTGAACGCCGTCGATTTTCGTCGGTGTGGCAATCAGCCGTTTAGCTCAGTGGCTAGAGCGTCAGGCCGCGAACGCCGAAGACGCGGGTTCGATTCCCACAGCGGCGACAATCTTTTCGTACTTTTTCGACATATTTTAATATTTAACTGTAGTAGGGCCGCGCAAGTCTTCGCTGTTGCACGAATGGGCAGATCCGTCCCGAGTCCCGACCTCATAGAAGAATTTTATCCCTCTGCGTTTCGTCTTGTGAGGCAGCCGGGGTCCACTTTATTAAAAGGTGGCAACGCATCTGCAACGCTACGGTGTTTGCAAATGTCCATGGGCGGCAGTTATCAGTTAACATCAGGTGAATCGCCGACTCGATTGCCACGATGTCACATAAAAGAATATGTACGCGGGAACTTCCAATGAAAGCCACCAAGATTGAGAAGGCAAAGTATGAAGATTTATACATAAATCGTAATACAATACAAAACCGCTTCATCAGGGCGCAAGAGGCCGAGCGAGGAGTCAATTAGGTTAGTGATTGAGTGCGCCGAATGATATCTTCAATTGAATAATGACACGTCTTTAATTCGTTGTCAATAGAAATTGTACGGTCGGGGTCACGGGTTCTTTTGTAGTTCAAATACCAGGAGTAGACCTATAAATTTTCTGTATTCTGGATTTCGTAAGCGCGATAATCTTCTCGTCGGGTGACAAGACTGTCACGTTTGATATAAACGAGGCACCCTCAACTCCTTGGTCCTCACAGATAGTATGTTTAGACGTGATATCTTATTTTTGATATACGAGGACGATAAGGACGTTTTCGAGGTCCTGAGGGACAACGACATCTTGTATCCTTTTAACACCTCGTCTTTTGTCACTTGTAGAATTCGAAACTGTAAACCAGTGAAATGCACTGTAGCATTTCAGTACTCATTTACTTCAACATATAAAAGTACATTATTTAGATACATGTTATATTATTGAAAATTAATATACTAAATATCATAAGATTGTATAAGAGAATAGTTAACCGCACTTTTATACCAAGTTCTTGGATGTGGTGGAGTGGTCCTCACTATTCGATTGTAGATAAAGCTTGAAAAATGTATATCAAATGAGAAAAAAAAATTACTTTTAGACTGAATTTGTCCAATCAACAACGGATTTCAAATCAACATTTAAATAAAAAACCTCTTAATTGCGTGCTTGTTTGTGAAAAGAACGCAGTCATCTTACGCTATCGATACATTATCTAGGCGCCCGTAAACGATTTATTTATGCAGACATAATGTGTAATAATTGTAGTTGAAGCCGCTGCATACGTACACCGGTTCAAAAGCTCGGCCCAGCCCTAACTTATAAACAGGGGAGCTGCTAAGATACAACGTAAAATATCGATACCATTTTTGGGTTTCTATGGCAACTAGAATATCAATTAAGCGAGCCTCTAATGCATATGTATGTGTGATTAAAACAATTCAATATATATTTTTGTCGTAATAAGCACAGTGCAGAGACAACGACCTGTGCGAGTATTATTGCCATTGTTGCCACGCCTGGCAACTATGACAATAATACTTGCACTGCTCTGGTATGTAATTGGGAAGTCGATGGATATAGGTGGCTCAGGATCGTGCTTTGTAGCAGGCTGTGGCAGTCTATGTTAAGTAGAGGACACAAACGCGCTGTAATGATGATAAATGCAACCTTGCCTTGATGAACCTTGCGTACAAAAACAACATAGATATAGGACAATTTGCAATCAATTATAAGAATTTCTAGAAGGTATTTGCGAGAACACATTGTTCTTGACGTTTCGAAATTTTGCAGAATTTTACTCATTCACGCCCCGAGGAGGAGTTTCGAATATTTAAACCAAACGCGATATAATACATGAAAACAGTATATTACATGTTAAAAATTACAGTAATTTTGGTTCACGATCTAAAAGCTTAATTGAAATCAACAACAACTCCGGACCGTCTTAGGCGTTACTGTATGGAATGTATTTATAAACTCGTACTAAGTATATTATAGAGATGACTTTAAATTATGCGATATGGACTAGCGTCAGACGGCGCGACCTTGCTGACCCCAACCGATGCCCACATTTCTACAGATTTAAAGGGGCCTCTTTATAACACTCGAATTTTCGACGCGACAACGCTCTTCCGGCTTACGAACTATGGCACTAAACGTATGATGACACTATTTTAACGCTTCTTTTCTCGTTTATTGACGATGCCTCGATTAGTGATGGCATATTGTCACTGCCACTAGTTTTGATTAGGGCCACTTTCTGCCAACCCCAAATATTTTAGCGCCATTTGTTAATAATTGTAGGATGTAGTGATCTGTAACTGGTACTATTTTAGTTTCACGTAATTAAAACTATACAACCTTCACATATCTACGGAAATTATTTTTCTTATAAACAAAAGAAAAAGTAAAGTATCAGCCTAAACATATCCCACTGCTGGGCAAAGGCCTCGTCTGTACAGAGGGTATCAGGGCATAGTCCACCAGGCGGCCTCACTGCGGATTGGCCGACTTCACATATCTTCGAAATATTTTTTTTGTTATTACTTCAAAAATATGCAGGTTTCCTCACGATGTTTTACTTTACCGCTGAGCACGTGATAATTCGGCACTTAAAATAATAAAACAATTTCATTGGTGTCTGTCTCCCTTTCACCCCAAAACTACTAAACCGATTTAAATGAAATTTGGTACACAGATAGTCTAGATCCTGAAAAAGGACATTAGGCTATATTTTAATTGGAAAAAAGTGTTGTAAAGGGTTGAAAATCTTTCTTTCTTTAAAAAATACATATAGGTTTTAAATAAAGATATTTATTACGAGTGTTTAAGGGTTTCAAGGCGAGTGAAGCCGCGGGCGAAAAGCTAGTAAATGATATACCTTAGTATGGCCGGTGCGGGACTGGCCAGTGCTCGAAAAAAATATAAAAAATAAATACAAAAAGAGCGGATTATTTATGCTGAGGCACGAGCCTTTTACACCATTAAACGAAGGAGGCCAGAAGCCCGCATATCAAGAACAAATCGATCACATTTCCAATAAGAGACTTTAAAGTCTCGGTAAGATTACGCGGAACGCGTTTCGGCTACCGGGCGCTCAGGGAAATCACGAGGCGACGATTATATCTTACGGCGAATTCATCAAAAACGTTACCCCGGTGGGTTGAATTTACGGACTTTTGTACAGACTTTTTATATGAAGATACGGCAAGCGTCTAGAATGGTGTCCAATATTTGTAATAAATAATAACAATAGTAAATAATTACTAGTTTAAGTTTAGGTGATTAACATTCCGCAACCTAAGCAAAGCTTGTACTTTGGGTATCAATTATTAGGTAACGGCATGCTCCTAACATTAATCACACTAAAGTCACAAGTATATGAATAAAAAATCAATAGTGCGAAGTTAAGGTTCTTTTAATCGGTGGAATCTCCAAATTACAACTACACATTGCAGCAAATTCTTAGTCTGGAAAAAAGTCGACCAAAAAGTATACTCCTATGTTTTTAATTATTTACTTAATTTTTTTTAATAAAAACGTACCTAGTTTTTATTAAGGCTTCTAAAACACTGAAATCAAATACAGCTTTAATATAAAACAAAGCGAGCCGGCAGCCGCAGGGCTTAACCGTTGTCTCGTTATGCGACGATGAAATAAAAGAAACCAAAGATCCCCATTCTCCGCATACCGATGGTATGACTCCCGTCACACGTGTCACGAGCGCTGCATTCAACGAAATTGAAATGGCATTCGAATATGAAGGGGAACGCGCCCGTGGACATGTTTATTGTGGCGCAGCGTAGGGAGCGTAATAAATCTGTTCTTTGGCCGTCCCTGAATGCACATCTTGGTACTGGGACGTGACTTAGGCACATACGCGACGGAAAGAACTTTAAGGTACTGTAAAACGATGCTAGTCTGTGCTAGAAGACTAAAATTTTAGCAGAGGCATGAAATTACTTTAGCACGTTCTATTCTAGATAGCAAATAAATTTTGGTGACAAGCATTGAAGCTATTTCGCTATTCATTACGCTAAGTCAGAGATGGTCAACAATTCTATCAACATCTATTTTTAGGTTGATCTTATTATAAGAACCGATTGGGCCTTAATTATGAGGAATAAATGAACACTAAATTCACACCCTCTCCCCGCCTCGATTGCGACAAAAAGTGGGCATATATTTCAGATAAAAAAAGAATAAACAGAAAAAGGTTGACCACTTCAGCCCTACATTACCAATTCCCCCACCTCTCTCCCCCATTTCGTCGCGCCACGACGACGAATCCTAAAATCGACCGACGATTGCGCCACCGCGAGAGATCTCTTCACTCTTCAGTCATTATTCACACAAATCGGATCGTATACATCATCGAGATTATAATCAAATATTTAAATTCGCTCGCGTCGGAACGTCGGCGTCTGGGCGGAGATCGTAATATCTAATAGTATATAATATATATAATATATGTAACGCACGGTTTCTCATGACTAATGCGTAGACGCGGACGACTTATGACCGAGATGCGTTAATGCATTCGATCCGGCCACCGATGGTTGTTTTGTGCGTGCGCGATGAAGAACAGCACTCGTATTTTGGACGTCGAGCTTGGATTTCCACTATCATTTATATTGACCGTATCTGTTAAAATCGCTCAGAATACTGTCGGCCTTTTAACGGGCTGGTCCATCGGTACAAAATCTCCATCGTCGGCTCTATCGTTTTAAGCTTGACGACATTTAGAGTTTAACAACCCTTCTAATACACTACTGATACTTCTAGACGGTTTGAGCAGTTATTGTCCAACTTATTGTATCAAAAACGTTATCTTGAAACTAGCTGATTAAATTCTTACTAAGTCTAGGTTTTCTTTGTGACCCAAAAAAGTTTAGTTGAAGATTTGGATCTAAAATATCCTTCGCTAATCACAGACCAAGAGAACACTCGAGATCAAAATAGGAAGGATAAAAAGAATCCGCGCGAGAACTGTGTTATTTTCGTGTACTCGCAACAGCACATGAATATGGATGAGGCGAAGCGAACAGTTGCCGAAGTAATTATACATGGTTATTGCAATGTTCCGTCGCGCCGTTTTATTGTGCCCGACAATTATGGAATCCTACCGTGTATAAATACGAGGAGCTAGTACGCTGGTAATTGCCAAGGCGGGACGGACGAGCGCCCGCTCGGATATTAACCATCCGCGATGATATCGACGTCGATAATCATCGATTAACATGATCCCATCACCATTCGTTGACGGACGATCCGCCGCGGGCAGCGGGCCGGACATAATGGCGTCCTTGTGGACGTGGCCACGGGTCTGTCAGCCCGTAATACCTGGCGAGATGTATCATAATCAGGCCGGTATCTAGGTCCAATAGATTATCCGCTCGAGCGAACGTCGCACGGTGAACGCTAATGGTGCATTTGTGATGGGACGTTTCTGGACAGGGCAGTAATGTATGGTCTCGCCTCCGCTCTAGGAGCAGATACCGCGCGAAATCGATGGACGTGGAGTTATCAGCATTGTAGTGACGAAGGACAGCTCGCTCGAGGCATGAACCACTCGGCAATAATGCTAATGCATTTCCTTGTACTGGTTATAAATAAGTTTACCGCTAGATGCGGCCGCTCTTGGATATGTCACGGCAACGTTTGATATGTAATATTAATACATTAACTCTCCAAACAAAACTAAAAGTATGAAAGAGATAAATAAAAGCTGTCTCAAAGTGATGGGGTCAAAAGACCTTGGTTCGTAATTGCGTTACGCTGATTTTGAAAACTAGCCATTACACTTTTTAGAAGCAGCAATGTATTCTGGAATTAATGTATCATCTTGTTTAAACTATATTTAAAATTTTTAACTAGTATAATGTCAAGTTCACAGTGCAATCTAAAAATGCTTCAAACTTCATGTTCTGTTTAGATGAATATCAAGACCCACTATATCGACTAAGTACACATAGCTTTATTGACTCAAACGAAGATCTCGTTACACGTAATAATATAATAAAAATACATACTGTGAGGCATAGGTAGAAGAGCACGGCAAGAAAAGACATCATTGAATACGTAGTGTTTTAAAAATAGATGTTTCTTAAACCACTAATAACTTTACATAAAATGAAAATTTCACAATATTTAGTTTTGATTTGGGCCACTTGTCTAAGGACTGAAACATAAAAGAATTACTTGAAATTTATCCGGTAGTATTTACGTGATGCATGCAAAACGACAGTGAATAAGCAGTGCTTATAAAAATCGACGTTTCTTAAACCTCCAATATCTTTACATTCAATGAAATTACAACAATATTTATTGTTGATATGGACCACGTTATTAAAAAATAAACCATAAAAGAATTACTTGAAATTTATCCAGCAGTATTTAAGTGATGCGCGCAAAACGACTGACCTAATTTTATTTATATAGATGACAAATAAAGTTATATCCGCCTTTAAGCCAGCCTATTCGCCGACAGCAAAAGCTGCGTTCGACATCCTTGTCTATTTACGATGTTTTGATAAAACTAATTTGCTAGCGTTGTGATCAACGCAAAATACAGCGTCAGCTAGTGGAGCGAATCAAGCGGATGTCCGTAGTTCGATGCTCGCGAGCGCCCGGTACATCGCATCGGTACAAATTACCGAGATAATGACGCGGACGAAACAATGGCCCTGATAAAGCGGCGGGGTCAGAGGGGCCGTTGCGTGGCGCCCGGAATGCGGCCGCGCCCGCAGCGGCTTCTGTGCGCGAAGAGATCCCGCTCTTAATGACCGGTCGGGTTACGAGTACGGTTCGCGTGTCGAGTGGACCAGCTACACCAGGAAAGCAGAGACACGCAGGCCGGCTGTACGGCGTTTGTACGTAGTGTTCTATAAGACAGTAGTGGACAGTACGTGCTAACCGGAGAGTACGAAGACAAAATTTAAGTTTTGTTCGAACAAACGTAGTAATAATGAAAAGGGCCTAACAGGAGATCGAGAAGTAGTTTGTACAAATGGAAGGTTGCCATCGTAACTGCACCAGATCTGATATTCATGATTGGGAACAACTGCAACACTTCTTGTTTTGCTGGTGTACGCGTTGGCTACTATTACTAACCTCTAACCCACAAAATTCAGTGCATGCTTTACATAATATATAGAGTGGTGTTAGCACATAATTTCGCTTTTTAAGAGTGAAACTTGGATATAAGTGGTGAAGGATATGAAAAGCTTGTTGAATTTACTGGTATTTAACATCTAGAACACGCGTTTATTAATGAGCATTAAGAACATTTTATGAAAATCATTTAAAAATATAGAAATTATTGGAAACTCAAATACTTGGTTCGTATTCGGAAGGACTTCTTAGTACACTCAGATCAGTTCTGGCGTTCCAGGTTTTTTTTTGGCAGGATTTGCCACTGTTGGCCTTAGGGGCCTCTACAGATCCGCCGGACTTGAGGTGGCCGGGCATAGCAGTAGGGCTCTATTCTTAATACCATATCTTTATTTGTGGTACGTACTACTCTTAAGAATTATAAGCAACGAAATAGTGTTCAATACATTAAAACCTGAATCCATTACTGCATCAACTTATTGAACATCTGAAATTCTTGAAAGATCTTCATCTACTCGTTAGACTAAATCCATTCCACGCGTTAATTTTGAATAATAGCTCAATTTGAAGTAAAACTTATCCAACAATAAAATAAGAACACCATACATATATATACCACAATACAAAAGTCGCGCTCACAATGGGTCGATGATTTCTGCGGCGAGTGCATTTTCTTAGTCACCCGTGTGAAGTGTGCCGACCAATTAAGTTATAAATAGCTAAATCAATTAGTTTCATCCTGTTGTACGTGGAAATTGCAATCACTGTTGTAACAATTGTGCCGAGTGAACGTAACCCGATATTCTATGCTTATTATTATTCTACGTGTACGGTAATACTCGTAATACGTTTTAGCCATATTGTTGGGTATTCGTTATTTTGTTTAGCGCATATGGCGCACTCAGAGACATCATTAACCGTTAAATACCAGTATTTCTTGATATCTACACATTTCTAAGTTTCATCTTAAGTGCAGAAACTGGAATTAAATTAGAAATTGAATATATTGTGGTAAAAGAACGAGCCAATTTTTGGACCAACATATTTCCTTAAAAGAGAATAACGAAAATATAAAACAAAACCTATATAAATATATTTGAAAACATTCTCGCGTTAACTGAACGACAGCCACCGCCCACGTCACAAGGGTTCCGTTAAAAAATATCGGCTAAGGGAGATGTTAACTGAATGACGTACATCGTCACAACTATCCTAATAAAATATCGGCTGAGGGACATTTTCACTGTCCTCTTACACAGTCCGAGGTGACTTCGGTGGAAGCCAAAGCCGCGAACGCGGTCCTTGACTTGCGAGCGTGAGTAGCAGTTGACATTCACCCGGGCCTAATGACCAGCAATCAGGCGTTCCGAGAAAGAGCCGAGGTGTCGCTGCCGTGGAAAAAAGCCTAGCGACTCCCTCTGCGTCGCTAATGACGATAGACGTCGTTGGACGTTTTAAGCCTGCACTGAGGTCTGGTACATAGAGCCAAAAATATATCGCCACTTCACAAATATAAGTTTGAATAACGAATCCAGCGAAGCGAAAGAAATTTGACCAAAAAGACGAACCCGATTAGCGTAGTGACCCTGCCTTTTGCGGTGAAGAGTGTGGGTTTTATCCCCACTGCTTAAAATATATTGTGAGACAAATATAGTATAGTGTTTTCCAGTGTCTGGGTAATTATATATTTGTAATATGTATTTATTTGCAAAATAAAATTATGTTCAAGTATGTTTATCAGTTATCTAGTACCCATACACATAGTACAAGATAGTTGAAGATAGTGAATTCCAACAATCCGCGGTTGGGTCGCGTGGTGGACTATGACCTAAAACCTTCTCAGTATAAAGGAGGCCTTTGCTCAGCAGTCGGACATTTATAGGCTGTTACTTTACTTTTACTTTTTTCTCGGGTGATAGTGAACCTAGACTTAAGTGATATTAAGGAAAGATAGAAGGAAAACGGGGGAAGAGGGTGACCGAGGATAGGCTGTATATGTCAAATAAAGAAGAAAATTAATTTTGGTTCCCATAGAGGAAAGGGCTTTGAACAGGGAAGAATAAAGGGTGTTACAAAGATGATCACTGGGATGCGACCGACAAAAGCCTTAAATTAAAGAGAGAGTTTAAGTGACGGTCTTAAGTACTCGAAACAAGTCGAAATGGATAAACATTTCGACTTTGAGTACTCGAGAACGGGAAGATCTTTCGCCTCGTCGGTAGACATTTCAGAAATTCTAAAGCTTTTAACGAAGACGGAAGATATGCGTGCAGCGTTGGCAGCACTTAAACTCACCTTGGTAGAGAATAGCTAATGGCCAATGGGGCTAATGAATATTACCAGCCAACACAATACACTTCAACACTAACCGGAGACATTCCACAATCATTAATGTATAATTTAACCGCCTAAAGTACAACGCGTTTCACTCGTTTGAAAGTATTTTGCGCGTCCCAAGGCGTTAACGTTGCCATAAAACCGACAAGGCTAGCTCGAACGTCCAAGCCGAGTGTCTTTTAGCGAGAAAGAATTGCGTATAAGTGAAGGTGCATTCGGTGATATTTTCACTAAAGGAAGTGAGCCAAGGATACTCTCTCAATTCGTAGATCACCTCCAGTTAATACCAAAAAGGGAGTCAACCCAGTGCACGAGAAATTCTTAGCGTCGTATCGCAACGAGAATAATTTATCTTTATCGCCGAAACATTCAGTCGAGCGGAAGCAACCAATTGCAGCGTATAAAGTGCAGGCTAAATATTCAATTAAAGGGACGGTGACTTTCACGATAAAATCTTTTTTTAAGCAATTCACGAACTATATCTTAAGTATTTGAGACAAACATACGATATTAACTGTGATGAAAGAATAGAAGTATATACATATAAAAATAACGAACTATATGTACAAGATAGGCGTAACCTTTAGCCTGGTCGAACTACGAAGCAGTTTTCGCTTTTAATTTACATATTGACGGGCTCTCTACGCATATATACGAGCATGTATTTTATTTATTACCATCCTATGCTGCATTCACTATAATCTCTCACCATATCCTGGGTAAAAAATGCTTTTGAGAATTAAGGTTGCCCTCTGGTAATTTTTCTTAAGTTAGCAATAAAGATTAATGACATAAATATTTACCCCATGAAAACCATAATTATATTCATATCAATTATTCATTATAAAACGGATTACAACAATCTTTGATTTATAATAATAATCCTTCCCGTGTAAACAGAATATAAGCCGATCTCGGACACTGCAAAACATCCAAAATGCTGTGTAAAACAACAGTCGATCGTTTTTTTAACATCTCCCGAAATAACTCTCCGGCGGTTATCAATTTCTAAAAAAGAATCTGGGAGCCGCACGGCCAACCTCGCCACCTGTCTAACCGTAAAGGTCTTAGTGATGGCTGTCGCTGTCTACGAACGGACCACAATACAGGACCGAATAAATTTCACTTACGCTCCTAAACAAGCTTGATATAAACAATTTTGATAAATGCTTCCTAACTTTATAAACTGATGATGGCTGCGTCATCATAATGCTATCATTCAGTACCGACCTTGTAACTATTTATCGCGAGGGAAAATTAAAATATATATATAAAACTATAAACTACTCGATTACTTTTATAAAACTGTTTTATAAACAATTTCTGTTAGAGAAACCTCTGAAAGATAGGGTTCTTAAGTCAGATAAGCCTGAACCTCCTTATTAATTGGCTATATTAGAGGATCGAAGCAAAAGGTACCCTTTAGACTTACTGGTATTTTAAACTTATGTATACAGCATGTGACTTACTGGTATTTTAAACGAATGTAACATTTATTGTCGCGATGGTAACGACACGCTGTATACCTACGTAGTGGATGTTGTTGGATAAGTACAATCTTTTAAAAGAAAGTTGACAATAAACAATAGGGAGCGGATGCTGCGGTCGGTACCGGGTCGCCCATCCCTACTCGGCGACCTTCGTTCCTGGAACGTCCCGGGTCAGACATAATGATCGCACCGCCCGCCAATTACCCGTCATCACAACCGAAACACAACAAATTGCTTACCGCGCGCACCGAAAACGGCGCGCCTCGCGCAAACGCCGTCACGCGGTTTCGACCTCTAAGCGCGCACCCGAAAAAACAATTTCCCGTGCTCCGAATTCCGACTGGAGGTGGAAGCTTTGTGGGCCCGGTGGGGCGATTTTTTTGGCCCTGGGTGGTTTTCCCGTAATCGCTCGCCGCGGCCGGTTGTTAGCCTCCAAATATTCAGGGTGTGCGCAATTAAATATGTATAACCGTTTGTTACGATCGCGCATTTGAATAATTGCTAAGGCGGCGCTCGGTACAGACCATTCTCTCCGACCCACTGCTGACAACACAATTCTGATTCGGGCGTCACTGGCTTCTTTGTCTTTGTCGCGATGGATGTTTGCCCTTTCAGGCCGTGGGCTATACAATGCTTCATCGGGCAAAGGGCTGGTGGAAAGGCTTTCCTTTCCAGCGGTGCTAGTGGCTAGATACGCAACCTAACTTGAGTAAGGCAAGTGGACATGCATGCTTTAACAAAAAATAGGATTTCTGGCTATGGGCATGTCACTGGCTGTGACGCTCGATGGAAGTTTATATCACTTGGAACCCGTGTTATTGTCGTCTATTCGCTCAGGT